GAAGTGGAGATGGGGCCTGTGATGCTGGCTGCAGTGGCCCAGGAGGAAACTGGGATGGGGGGGACTGCTCCCTGGGGGTCCCAGACCCCTGGAAGGGATGCCCCTCCCATTCCCGGTGCTGGCTTCTCTTCCGGGATGGGCAGTGCCACCCACAGTGTGACTCTGAAGAGTGTTTGTTTGATGGCTACGACTGTGAGACTCCTCCAGCCTGCACGTGAGCCTGAAACTGATCTGGGATGATGGGTGGGGGATGGGGGGGAGGCAGGATGAAGGCAGAAGGAAGGACACAGAAAAGTCTGAGTTACAGTGTGACCACAGCCTCATGCTCTGGGGAGCTTCCACTCTAATAACCATTGCTAAATAGGGATAGAAGACACTAGACTCCAACCCAAGCGAATGAGGCAACATGAATATTTAATGTGGGGACCAAGAAAGAGGGCACTGCCTGTCTGGGCTACCCTCTGAGTGTCATGGGAACCCTGGCCTCAAGCCAGGCAACTCCTGTTGCCATGGAGTATCTCCCCTAGCAACCAGCATCCCTGAGGGAAAAGGGCTCCCTTTTAGGGAGCCAGGAGTTGGGGAGGGTAGAGACAGGGCAGTGTTAGGAAACAAAGGTCAGTAGACATTAGGGTGTCTGGACTAGCTACCGTCCAGGGAGTAAACCCACTACTCCAGAACTGCCCCCACTAAGCAAACAGAGCCCTAGAGGCTGTAGAGTATCAGGAATCCTTTCTGGGATGAGGGAGTCAGGTTTCTTTAGGGTCCTGAGCCCCCATCTCCTCACCCCACAGTCCAGCCTATGACCAGTACTGCCGCGATCACTTCCACAATGGACACTGCGAGAAGGGCTGCAACACAGCAGAATGCGGCTGGGACGGGGGTGACTGCAGGCCGGAAGATGGGAATTCAGAGTGGGGGCCCTCCCTGGCCTTGTTGGTGGTGCTGAGCCCCTCAACCCTGGACCAGCAGCTGCTCGCCCTGGCGCGGGTGCTGTCCCTGACTCTGAGGGTAGGGCTTTGGGTGAGGAAGGACAGCGAAGGCAGGGACATGGTATACCCCTATCCCGGAGCCCAAGCGGAAGAGGAGCTAGGAGGAACCCCAGACCCCTCTCAGCAGGAGAGAGCAGCCCCCCAAACACAGCCTACAGGCAAGGAGACAGACTCCCTGAGCACTGGGTAAGAACGCTAGGGGGGATGGGGGGGGAGGAAAGACCTTAGTTCTTTAACTGGCAGAGGGGAGCCAGGGACCAACCCAGGGGTCTCTTCCCCACAGGTTTGTGGTGGTGATGGGTGTGGACTTGTCCCACTGTGGCCCCGAGCACCCTGCATCCCGCTGCCCCTGGGACCTTGGGCTCCTACTCCGCTTCCTTGCTGCGATGGCTGCAGTGGGGGCCCTGGAACCCCTACTGCCAGGACCCCTGCTGGCTGCCCACCCTCGTGCAGGCACTGGTAGGTGATCCCGTCATTTCCCCAATTTTGCTCCCAGGCCAGCTTCCAATGCCAGCAACCAGCAATGAAGTCAAATGAAACAGAAGCACTGAGACCCCAGATGTTGTTTATGGAGACTTACCCTTGTTAACCTTCTTCTCTAAGTAGATCTCCTCACAACCCATTTGCTCTTCAATCTCCATCTCCTTGAGTCTTTTATCCTAAACTCTATCACAGACCATCCACAAACGTTGGGTTCTGGCCTATTCTCTCTAATAAGCCAAGAGTTATCCAATCATCCGCAAATCAAACAGTTCATAGCATTATGAAAGAATAACAACTCTTATATGCCACTTACTATGTGCCAGGCCTTGCTCTAAGCATTTTACAGTATTATTTAAACCTCCCAACAAACCCTATGAGGCAAGTACTATTATTATTCCTATTTTACAGTTGAGGAAACTGAGGCAAAAGGAGGCATCTGCACTTGCTCAAAGGTCTCACCAGAGTACCCCACCTCACCAGGCGTGGTCTTTTTTTCTGTGTCTCTTCCACCAGAGCCCTCCGCCAACCAGCTTCCCTGGCCTGTACTGTGCTCCCCAGTGGTCGGGGTCCTTCTCCTGGCCCTCGGGGCTCTTCTCGTCCTCCAGCTCATCCGTCGCAAGCGCCGAGAGCATGGGGCTCTCTGGCTGCCCCCCGGGTTCACTCGCAGGCCCCGGACTCAGCCAGTTTCCCGCCGTCGTCGACCCCCCCTGGGCGAAGACAGCATCGGCCTCAAGTGAGAGTGAGAAATAACTGGGGCTCAGGGAGGGGACTCTTTTCCGTGGAGATACTGGTGATCAAAAGCAATAAGAGATGCTATTGCAGAAGCTGAAGACACAGGATGGGGAGAGAAGTGGGAAGGCTGCTGGAAATCTCAGGGGCCCTGAAGGTGCTCTCCCCACCCTCCCCCTTCCAGGGCACTGAAAGCAGAGGCAGAAATGGATGAGGATGGTGTTGTGATGTGCTCAGTCCCCAAGGAAGGAGAGGAGGTAGGCCAGGTGAAAGCCCTGGGCCAGGAATGGTCCTAAAGTGATGGAGGGGTTGAAGGGACAAGTCACCCTGCCTTCACTGACCCTTGTTCTGATCCCCAAGGCTGAAGAAATGGCCTCACCCCCCAAGTGCCAGCTCTGGTCTCTGAGCAGTGACTGCCAAGAGCTCCCCCAGGCAGCCATGCTGACTCCTCCCCAGGATTCTGAGATGGATGTCCCTGACGTGGACACCCAGGGACCTGGTATGTGAGTCAACCTAGACCAAGAAAATGAAAAGTCCCTTTGACCCCTTTCAGAATCACAAAGTCCTTTGATATCTGAACTGGATTAACTAATACTAGAGTAAGTGCTTCAGAACAGTCCAAGTGTGGTCCCAGGACAGAAACAGCAGCATCACCAAGGAAATTGTTAGAAATATTAATTCTCAGGCTCCACTCCAGAGCTTCTGACTCAAATTCAAAATACCGGGGAATCTGTGTTTTAACAAGCCCTGTAGGTGAGTCTGAACCAAGACTCAAGTTTGAGAATCACTGCTCTAAAATGTTAAAGTATTAAGGCCCGACACTTCCTTTTACAGAGAAGGAAACTGACGCCCAGAGCAAAACAGAAAGTCATTGAGACAAGCCACACAAAATCAAGACCCCAAGCTGGGCTTCTTGACACTTCATGCTGTGATTCTCCCCGAGCCTCCATGTTCTCCCACTTCCCCAGTTGTCCCCCATTTCTCACGTCTCATCCACAGATGGGGTGACACCCCTGATGTCAGCAGTCTGCTGTGGGGGCGTGGAGTCCAGGACCTACCAGGAGACATGGCTGGGAAGTCCTGAGCCCTGGGAACCTCTGCTGGAGGGAGGAGCCTGTCCCCAGGTTCACACTGTGGGCACCGGGGAGACCCCCCTGCACCTGGCTGCTCGATTCTCCCGGCCAACCGCTGCCCGCCGCCTCCTAGAGGCTGGAGCCAACCCCAACCAGCCAGACCGGGCAGGGCGCACCCCGCTTCACACGGCTGTGGCTGCTGACGCTAGGGAGGTTTGCCAGGTCAGTGCACACTGGGGTTGCTTCAGGACTCGCAAACTTGCAAGTGAGGCTGGGCAAAAGCCTTCTCCAGGGTTTGGCAAAGAGGAAGGTGATGATTGGGGACTGATAAGAGAAACAAGAACAGAAGAGTGAATATGGATTGGGAGGTGGGTTAGCAGTGCTAGGGGCCTTAGCTAGCAGTCCAGATATACCAGCGGTCACTGGTCCTCTCTGGCCCCTCCAGCTCTTACTCCGCAGCAGACAGACTGCAGTGGATGCGCGGACAGAGGATGGAACCACAGCCCTGATGCTGGCCGCCAGGCTGGCTGTTGAAGACCTGGTTGAGGAACTGATTGCAGCCCAAGCAGATGTGGGGGCCAGAGACAAATGGGGTATGGATCTGGAGAAGCTGATGTTGTGCTATAGAGAAGCTGAGCAAATGGGGTATGAGGTAAGATCTAAAAAATACGGGGGACAGCAGAGGAACCAGCCGCAAGCTGGGGCATTCCCTCCCACCCTGCTTGCTGTCAAGGTGGTAAATCTACAGGAGGCAGCACATGAGTCTGCCCTCAGCATCCTCAAACACACACACACATGCTGTCCTTGCCCACCAGGAACCAGAATGGAGGAAGAGTATCTGTGAAAATGGAGAGGGGGTCTCGTGGGAGGGATGCGGTCTGCCGGTCCCATAGACCCCAGAACAATGCCCCATTGTCCCTCCCGCGCGCCGGTGACGTCACCAGGGGCAACGCTTCCTGCAGGTCGACGGTCACCCGGGCAACGCTTCCGCCTCGGAGGGACCCGGCGGGCGGAACAGCCCTTCCCCCAAGACCAGAACCCGTGGGAAACAGGAACCCAGGCGTCTGGCCCCCAGCCTCGCGGTAACTACCTCTCACGTGCTCCCCTAGGAAAAACAGCGCTGCACTGGGCCGCCGCCGTGAACAACGCCCGGGCCGCCCGCTCCCTTCTCCAGGCCGGAGCCGATAAAGACGCACAGGATGGCAGGGTTAGATGGGGGCCCTAACAATAAACTGGGAGCGGGAGAGGTGAACAGCGAAAACCCGGAAGAGGCGGGGCAGCGGTCAAGTAGGAGAGCCAGTCCTACGGGCGTGGCCTTCCCTGACTTCGCCCTTGGCTGTTTTCCTCCCGCGCAGGAGCAGACGCCGCTGTTCCTGGCGGCCCGAGAAGGGGCGATGGAGGTAGCTCAGCTGCTGCTGGGGCTGGGAGCCGCCCGAGGGCTACGGGACCAGGCCGGGCTAACACCAGGAGACGTCGCCCGCCAGCGAAATCACTGGGATCTGCTGACGCTGTTGGAAGGGGCGGGGCCATCGGAGGCGCGTCACAAACCCACGCCCGGCCGCGCGGCAGGCGCCTTCCCGCGAGCGAGGACCGCGTCCGGAAGCGTGCCGCCGCGTGGGGGCGGGGCTGCGCCGCGCTGCCGGACACTGTCAGCGGGAGCCCGTCCGCAAGCCCGGACTTTGTCCGTAGACTTGGCCACGCACGGGGGCGGGGCCTACTCGTACTGCCGAAGCCTATCGAAAGGAACAGGAGAAGGTCCGCCCCTCCGCGGCCGTAGGTTCTCGGCAGGCATGCGCGGGCCTCGGCCCAACCCTGCAATAGTGCGAGGAAGATCCGGGGTCACGGCCGGGAGCGGGGGCGTGGCCGCAGCTGTTGACTGGCCCTGCGATTGGGTGGCCCTTGGAGCCTGCGGCCCCGCCTCCAACACACCAGTCCCGCCTCCTTGCCTAACACCGTCCCCTGAGCGGGGATCCCCTCAAGTTGCCTGGGGTCCCCCAGCCCACCAAGTGATACCCTTAAATGCAGGAGGCGAGGGTCAAAAATAAAAGGCCACACTTCAGGGAGGGATTCTAAAAGTGGGTACTCATTAAATAAGAAGTCTGGAAGGCCTCTAGATTTTAAGATCCTTGTGCCTCGAAAGTGAGGGATCAAGAGTGTAGTGTCCCTCACAAAACGATGTACATCACATCGTCTTCCACGTGGGGAAACTGCAGCCCCGGAAAGAGGGTTCAGGGTGCAGGGATGAAGCACCCTGATGAGATGGCCAGCCTGTCTCAGAAAAGAAGGATGAGGGGTTACAGGAAGTACCCTTGAACCAAGAACTGCAGACTGACAGAATGTGAGATGTTCTTTTCTGTATATTGTTCCCAAAGGGAGCCCCTATCGCCTGAAATCCCCAATACCCGCAAACGGCTGACAGATATTTATTGAGTGCCTACGGTGTGCCAGGCACTGTGTAGGCATTGAAGACAGGGCCAAGGGTTACTCCAACTGATGATTCCTTGCTTTCTCCCCCACCACACCACTCCCCCAAACAAACTACTGCAGGGATGAAGTGCCACTCTTCTAGCCACCACTATCTCTAAGAACCCCAAATCTGTCACCCTATAATAAAAATGATTTGAAGTGTTACAGTCTTTTGGAAGGGTTGGGGAACGGAAAAAATATGAAATTGACTGCCTCATGTTTTCAGAATTTTGTGCCCTAGGTTCAACATGTGGATGGAAGCTTTGAGTATAGTTTTAAGAGCAAAAATAAGACAGGGTCCTATGTTAGTTTAAGGAATCATCTAAAGTCTCTAGTAATCCAGTGAGAAACCACACACACTAAACCATGCATACCCTTCATCGCTCTTTGAAGGGCATTTTGTTATAGCCATTTAGATCTGATTCCTGAGGCCTCAAATAGAGGGAGATGGAGAGAGCATCAAACTTTTAACTACCATTCAGCAATATGGTTATGCCTCTTTCATGGTGATGGACCTGAAACACGCAGGCATGAAGCATTTTGAAAACAATAACTACCATTTATTGAGCATTCACTACAGGACAAATGCTTTATCACATTTGATCCTCATATCAGTGGTATAAATGGTAAAACACACACACACACACACACACACACACACACACACACACGAAACTCCTTTTTACTCTGAGAATCTGAGGCAGAGAGATTGTATTTGCCCAAGATTGCAAGGCATTAAGCGGCAGAACCTGATCTCATCATTGTATTTCATGCTCTAAGTCACTCAGCTAACGTGACAGGTTGCCATTAAGAGGTCCCAAATGTCTCTGTCCTGTTTCCCACTTTGGTGCCAGCCAGTCTGAGCAGCATTGATCAAAGCTCAAGTCAGGTTGCGGTCCTCTCCCTTTCCCATTTCATGATGAGAGGAAAGCTTTCCCTTTGTGTCTTACATTTCATGCATATTTTGTGCCCTGAATAGACTGTAAGCACCTATGGGGCAATGGTAACTACTCAACCCGTATTTGTTAAACACAGTGCTAGGGATATATGTATGTTTGAGGGCCTGACATCCTTGAATCTGTCTTCCTACTGGAAACATGCCCCTCCCCATCCCAATAAGTCAGGGAAGCTGGGAAGAAGGTCGTGGGTCCTTCTTAGAGAAGGCACCTGGGGCCGGGGGGGTTGGGGGGGGATTCTGAAGAGTGAAACCACTTCCTTTGTAGCTAGTTCCTGTGTTGACAGAACTGAAGGGGAGGAGGGGGTGGAGGGAACACAGCTGGGGTTTAGGGGGCTACTGAGGCTCTGGAGATGAAAAAGCCAAAAATCCTTTCCCATTCTGAACCCCCACCACTACTGCAGCTGGAGAAGCTTTTCCCAGTCTCTCTGCTCCCCTGGGGCGAGAGAGGTCAAGCCAGCAGTTTGGGTGGGAAAAGAGAACTGGAGGAAGTTGACAGGGATGGGCGGGGCCCGTGGGGGGGCTGACCAGGAACCCAGCTTCCTGCTCAGTACCCAGGCATCCAGCCCCCGGCTCGCCCCCACCCCTTTCCGCCCCTACTCCCCTCAGGAACTCAGGGTTCCGGCCCTCCTCCCAAATCCCAGCTACCCCCTCCCCCATTGGTTTCTCCCCTCCAGGGTATGGAGGCTGAGAGACCCCAGGAAGAAGAGGATGGTGAGCAGGTGAGCTCGGCACCGGGTTGGGGAGGCTGACACTGGGAGAGAGAGAGGTGAGAGGACCTGGGGCAGAGACTGAGTAACGGTGGACTCAGGGGACTTGGACGGGTTTGGGCACACTGAGGCAGGAACAGAGACACAGAGAGGAAATGGGCTGCTGGCCTAGCCCTCTGCCCACCCCACCCCCACTTGACTGGAACGGATGTCTCTCAGTATCAGAGCCCCCATCAGGATGAGCATGGCTGGCCCCCCGCGAGCTCCAGCACTCGACCTTGGAGGTCTGCCCCTCCGTCCCCTCCTCCTCCAGGGATTCGCCATACAGGTACCCCCAACCCCTCTCTGGGGAGCTCCCTGACCTGGTACCCACTTCTTTCCTGATCCTATTACCAAGGCCCATTCCATCAGGGGCTCTCTCCCCACCTCCTCCAACTCCCCATCACACCCTGGTAGCCCTGACACCCCCAACACACACACACCCACCACTCCTGCCAACCTTTCTGGGTCTGAGCCCTCGCCTCCTCTCCACAGCCCTGGGGCCCCGCTCGGCCTCCCTGCTCTCCCTGCAGACCGAGCTCCTTCTGGACCTGGTGGCGGAGGCCCAGTCCCGCCGCCTAGAGGAGCAGAGAGCCACCTTCCATCCTCCCAAGAACCCCCCAAGCCTAGGTCGAGCCCTGCCCCGGCCTCTTGAGGACAGAGAACAGCTCTACAGCACTATCCTCAGTCACCAGGTGAGACAACCCGCCCCCCTCCCCCCAGAAGGCAAGACCCAGGCTTCTTGGTTCTGGCCCCTTTTCTCTCTTGGGTCCTACCCCTCCTTCTCCCCAGGCATCTGCCCCCTCACCAGGTCCTACTCTCCCTATCCCCCATCACTGGTGTCCTCTATGCCCCTCACACCAGCCCTGGCTCCTTTCAAGGCCTGCTCCTCTTAAAACCTCACCATCAACTTCCTCTTACTCCACTCCTCCAGTGCCAGCGGATGGAAGCCCAGCGGTCAGAGCCTCCCCTACCCCCAGGGGGGCAGGAGCTCCTGGAGTTGCTGCTGAGAGTTCAGGGTGGGGGTCGAATGGAGGAGCAAAGGTCCCGGCCCCCCGCACACACCTGCTGAGACTTGAGCCCCCACCAGCCCCTCTGCATTCCTGGGGCTCAAAAGCTGGGCAGCCCCACTGCATGCCCTCACCCCTGCCAGGGAGGGGCACCAGAGACTGGAAGACCCAGCAGAAATCTCAATATTCATCACCCTCATCCACCTAACCTGGGAAGTGGAGCGGGTGAAAGTCTGAAAGCCTGAAAATAGCCAAGGTAGGATGGATAATAACTCCCTCCATAATCAAGTGTGTTATGAGACTATGAGAGGATCCCAGCCTCAGTGGGACACCTCACCCTCTCTTCTGATCTCAGGGAGTGCCTTCGAGAGTCTCCATCCTGAGCTGTGGGGACACCCCTAGTAGTCAAGCTACCAGGTGGGATCTCGGGGCTCTGTCCTCCATCTCCCCAAAGAACAGCAAATCTCCCAAGGTTTTGACCTGAGAATTCCACCCTCCTTCCCAATAAGGAGAAAGGAAGAGAGGGCACAGCAAAGACATAAAGACCATTCTCACATCTCCATCACCGGCACCCCCTAGCCCCGGGACTGAGGGGCCTACAGGCTGTGAAAGGACATTTAGCCCTGCCCACCCTCCCTCCCCGCTGCTGTTCTGAACTGTCTGATGTTTGGTTATATGAATAAATGTGATTCCCCTCTGGACTGAAGACTGGTGTCTGGGGTGGCCGGGTGGAGGGTAGGAAGGTGAGGCCGGAGGCTGCCCGCTCTCCCCAGTCTGGCCAGAGGCCAGCTCCCCTCCCTGGCTGGTTAATTACTGGCTCATTAAGCAGCGGCTGGAGACCTCCCTAATTATCCCCCCCAGCCCCCCTCTCCAGGTTTTAATTAAGTAGAACAGGGAGGGGAGTCATTAGGATAAGAAATATGAACTAAGCTGTCTTTGAACCCAGGCATTCCAGCCGCCAGGGTCCTCATCAGCTTGATCCCGGATTCAGAACCCGGGTGGAAGGACCCCCAGCCTCCAACACAACCCCGGTTCAAGGCCACAGAAGTCCAGACCCTGGGCCCTTCCCTCATTTTCCCCACGGGCTAGTCTCCTCCCTCGTCCCCTCCTCCACTCGGTCTCAGTTCCTCTGTTTCTGTGCGTCTCTCTCCGCCCCCAGCTCCTCCCTGTTCCTCCTCCCTTCTCCCCTCCTCTTCCTCCCCGGCTCCCCTCCCCCAGCCTCCCTCCCTCGCTCCCCCCCTCCTCCCTCCTCCCTCCTCCCTCTCTCTCTCTCTCACACACACCCCCGCTTGGGCCTCCTCTCTCTCTCCGGCTCCATTTTCTCCGCCGCCGGGGGCCGGGGTCTCCTGTGGGGGGCCCATACGGTACCCCAGGTCTCCCTTCAGGGCCGGGGTGAACCCCCGGGAGAGCCGGGAGCCGGGGAGACGGGCGGGGGTTGGGGCGGAGGGAGCAGCGGCCCCAGCGAGTTTGGGGGGGGAGTAACCAGGCGGGGGGGAGGGGCGGAGCAGGGAGGGGGCCTCAGGGCCCCCCCCCAACTATGGACGAGCGGCTGCTGGGGCCGCCCCCTCCAGGCGGGGGCCGGGGGGGCCTTGGATTGGTGGCTGGGGAACCTGGGGGCCCTGGCGAACCTCCCGGTGGCGGAGACCCCGGTGGGGGTAGCGGGGGGGTCCCGGGAGGCCGAGGGAAGCAAGACATCGGGGACATTCTGCAGCAGATAATGACCATCACCGACCAGAGCCTGGACGAGGCCCAGGCCAAGTGAGTGCCCCCAACCCGGGACCCCACACAGACCCAGCAGAAGCCCGGTTCACAAGCTCTGAACCTTCTGGGAGCCCCCAACTCAGGACCCTCCCCAGGATACTACAGCTCTCTTCTCCTTACTCCTGGGAGCCCCAAGATAAGTGATCCCTCTCAGACCTCCCTTCACCCCCAGTCCCTGAAACCTTCGAAAAGGGGAACCCTAAGTGGTCTCACCTCCCCACCTCTCCCTAACCACCCCACACTCCCCTGGAACATCCTTCCATCTCCAGAGACCCCTTCTGACTCCCAGACTAAAAACCTGCTGTGCTGTCTGCTCCCCTAACTCTCCAGCCCACCCTCTTCCTAGGGCTCTCCAGACCCCTCCCCAGGGCTCCGACCATTTCTCTCCACCCAGGGCCCAGCCTCCCAGGTCCTCAGGCACCCTTTGCCCCTGCTCAGTTGATACTATGAGCCCTGCTCAGTCCCAGGACCCTTCACACATCTCTATACTGAACTCCCCACTTCAGCTCAGCACCCCTCACCCCCTCGGGCACCTGAAGCTCTGATCTCCTCCTCCTTCTCCTCGGCCTCCGCCTGTCTTCCTCTGAAATCTACCTAGTCACTCTTATTTCTGCAGTCATTCCCACATGCTCTTCTGTACCTTTCTAGACCATCTCCCACAGTCCCCACCTGGCCATGGTGCCTTCAGCTCGTGGCACCTTCCCTCCTTCCAGCCAAAGCCAGGTAGCTTCCCCTTATCTCCACATGGAAGCTGAACTCTTCCTAAGAACCCCCCAGACTTCATTCGGCCCCCAGCCTTGCTTTTTCTTGCCACAGATTTACCCACCACCTCCCTATTCCCACGCTCCCCTCTCTTACCCTCCTGGATGTGTCGTCCTGTGGTTGTTTTTCCCCCTTGGCAGTTCCATAGCCTCTCAACTTTTCTCTCCCGTTCCCCAAGGAAACACGCCCTAAACTGCCACCGCATGAAGCCTGCTCTCTTTAGCGTCCTGTGTGAAATCAAGGAGAAAACTGGTATGTGAGTTCCCTCCTCCAATTCCTCAACTCTGGGGACAGAACCCTGTTCCCTGGAGAACTTAGGCTAAGAGTTTTGACAGCTTGGGGCCCTGAGGAAAGTGTGGGTTAGGAGGATTGCTAAGGGGGGCTTGGGTGGGAACCCACACCTGGAGACTTGGGTCTCCAGGTGGCCCCAGGAGGGCTGAGAGCTGGGGTGTGGGGTCCCTGGGTCCTTAAGTCCACTCGCCTGCATGCTAGGCCTCAGCATTCGAAGCTCCCAAGAGGAGGAGCCTGTGGATCCACAGCTGATGCGCTTGGACAACATGCTTCTGGCAGAGGGTGTGGCTGGGCCTGAGAAAGGGGGTGGCTCAGCGGCTGCAGCTGCCGCCGCTGCAGCCTCCGGGGGTGGAGTGTCCCCTGACAACTCCATCGAACACTCGGACTATCGCAGCAAACTTGCCCAGATCCGCCACATTTACCACTCGGAGCTGGAGAAATATGAGCAGGTGAGGAGAAGAAGCTGGAGTGGGTGGAGGGAGAGGCTCTTAAGGGGGATGCCCAGGGCCAAAGGGCTCCTGCTCACCAAGCCTCGGGCCCCCGCTGCAGGCGTGTAACGAGTTCACAACCCACGTCATGAACCTGCTGAGGGAGCAGAGCCGCACGCGGCCCGTGGCACCCAAGGAGATGGAGCGCATGGTGAGCATCATCCACCGGAAGTTCAGCGCCATCCAGATGCAACTCAAGCAGAGCACCTGCGAGGCCGTTATGATCCTACGTTCCCGCTTCCTGGATGCCAGGTGGGGCCCAGGGCCCCCAACCGGCCCCCAGCACCCAGCTCCTTCCCATTCTTCTCCGAGCCTCGGGGCCACCGTGTTGCATAGCACAACACTCTGCTCCGTGACACTGGTACCCTCTGAAATGAATCAACAGGATGGCCCGGCCAGGACACCAACACCCTCCTCACCAACCCCTCTCTCCTCTATAGACGGAAACGCCGTAACTTCAGCAAACAGGCCACGGAGGTTCTGAATGAGTATTTCTACTCCCACCTGAGTAACCCATACCCTAGTGAGGAGGCTAAGGAGGAGCTCGCCAAGAAGTGCGGAATCACTGTCTCTCAGGTACTGGGGAGGCTCGGGGAGGCGTTTGGAGGGCACAAAACTCTAACTAAGGTGTTCACAGAGGGACAGGTTTCCCACCTGACCCTGCTTTCTGCCCACCACCCCGCAGGTCTCCAACTGGTTTGGCAACAAGCGGATTCGCTATAAGAAAAACATTGGAAAGTTCCAAGAGGAGGCAAACATCTATGCCGTCAAGACCGCCGTGTCGGTCACCCAGGGAGGCCACAGCCGCACCAGCTCCCCGACACCCCCTTCCTCCGCAGGTGGATCCTGCTGCCATCCTGGCTGGCTCTTCTGCACGCTCCCTGCTTTTGTTCCCACTTCTTGTTTAGGCAGGATCAGAGCAGAAAGAGGGGGCCTTCTGGGGTGAGAGGGACCAAGCTGGTCAGATGGGTGGGGATGTCGGGGGGGCGAGGACACTCCAGTGAAGTTACTTCTGCCTTTCTTCCAGCAAATGGCCAGGGGAAACTCAGAAACAGCCTACTCCTTCTGAGTGTTGCCATATTGTTTTGTGGAAAATTTGGGTATGGTGGCATATCTCCACCAAGCTAGTGCAGGGCACTTTCTGAAAACTGAGAACTATGGGGAGTCTCCCATCTGCCATCACAGGCTCTGTTACACTCTTCCTTACTTCCCCCTCTGCTCCCTCAAGGCTCTGGCGGCTCTTTCAATCTCTCAGGATCCGGTGACATGTTTCTGGGGATGCCCGGGCTCAACGGAGATTCCTACTCTGCCTCCCAGGTCAGGTGGTCCATCGCGCCTTGAGTAGGGCTTTTTCAAACTCAGTTTCCCTACTTTTGGATCTGAAAGTCTTTTCTTCCCAGGTTTCTCACTGTGTCCTATCCTCCTCTGTTGCCTGCAGGTGGAATCACTCCGACACTCAATGGGGCCAGGGGCCTACGGGGATAACCTCGGGGGAGGCCAGATATACAGCCCTCGGGAAATGAGGGTGAGTAAGCACCTGAAGCCCCTCTCCTCACCTCTCACTGGGATGGGGGTGAGGGGGGCGTTTTCCCCGGCAGCGCTGGCACCTGTGCTGGGTTTCTCGAAACCCTACCCCAGCTGTCTGTCTCTTTTCTTCCCCAGGCAAATGGCGGCTGGCAGGAGGCTGTCACCCCGTCCTCAGTAACGTCCCCGACAGAGGGACCAGGGAGCGTTCATTCGGACACTTCCAACTGATCTTGCCCCTCAGGGCCAACAGGGGTGGGGGCTCACAAGGCAACTCTTGAAGAGGATACAGGCATCCGGAGGACAAAACCCAGACACAGGAGAAGCACAAGACAAGAGAAGGGCAGACGGGGCCATCCCCTCCCCGGCCAGATTCTGTCAGTGCTGGGGGTGCCGACGACATGGCAGGGAAGATGGGGTCCCCTCAGGGGAGAGTGGGGTCTGTCTACCCCTTTTTTCTTTCTTTTTTTCTCCCCCTTTCTCTCTCACAGAAACACACACACCCTGTTTTTCAGATCTTTCCTCTCCTTTCTCTCTCATAAACACACCGACAACTATTCTGTTTCTCTCTCTCTGTCTCTCTGTGGGCTCCCCCACTCTCCCTCCCCAACCCCACTTATCTGCTCTGGGATCTGTGGAGACGCCAGCCCTGCCCAACCAGAGATGCCAAAAATGGGGACATGACTTCTGGACAGAGGACATGGGCCACGCCCCCTGTGCCCCCCCACCTCCTGCCCCTCCAGACGGCTTTTATTACCTCATACGCAGCTCATCTTAAACCAATAGAATCGCTCGGTGGACGAGAGTGTCTGACTCAGATATCTACCTCGGAGGGAGTTTCTGCTACTTTAGGGAATTGTTGACTGGGCTTTGGGGTTGAATTTTTTTTTTTTTTTAAGGAAAGAAAAAATTAACCCTGGGTTCCATCTGTAGTTTTTTTAATTCTTATTTTGGGGGGTTTTGTTGGTGGTGGTGGTGGTGGTTCTTAATTTTTAATTTAGTTTGGGGAAGTAGATGTTTTTATAAATAATTTTTTTTTTTTTAAGTTTCTTCCTTTCCCATATTAGGGGTAATAGCCAAAGGGGTCATGATAAGAGAAAGGGGAACAAATAGGCCTGCCTGGCTACAGTCCTGTCCATCAGGAAGTAACATTTAGCAGAGCATCAAGCCTGCTCTCCCCCACACACACACACAATCACTTAGGTGTTCTCCTTTGCTTATAAAGTCACTTAGGTGTCCTTTGCTCTTGTGGGCAGCTTTCTGCTGCATTTAGCGTGGAGGTAGCCGGGCTTGCTCTGTCAGCCTATCCCCCCTCTTCCTACATCCCTTAGGCAGGGCTGGACTCAGTAATTTTGAGCAAATGACACATCTAAAATCCTTTTTTTATTAAACTGCTATTTACAGATTGGAGGAGGAAGAATGGGGAGGGGGTTATTGCCAAATATGTTAAATATAGGTTGGGGTGTTTGTGTGTGTTATTGCCCTCAGTTTCCCCAGATATGAGGTATCTTTTTTTCTCAGTCCAAAATCAAGAGGGTTGGGGGAGAGAGGAAGGAGGCTGCAAACAGCCAGGTATGAGGGAAGGTAAAATCACCATCCCCAACCCTCGGCCGTGAACCCTACCATCTGAACCCCTCAAACATCCTCAGGCGTTTATAAGACTGTCACAGTGGGGAACCCCTCCCCTCAAAAGATCCAGGCAGGATTCCGGGGGGTAGGTTGGGAGTGTGATGGGTGGGGGCGGGAGGCATGGGCTGGGGGCAGTTCTCTCCTCACTTGTAAACTTGTAGTTTCACAGAAAAAAAAACAACCACAGTTTTAAATAAAGAAATTTCTTTTTTTCCTGGGTTTAGTTGAGAATTCTTTTCAAAAACATGAGAAACCCCAGAAAAAATTTTTTTTCTTTCTCAGAAAACCCTAAATAGGTGCTCCCTGCTCCCCGCCCCACCCAGGTCTTCCAGTTTTTCCCTCACCACCCAGGCCCCAGGTTTCACCCCTGCCTCCTGGGAAACAGCCAGGCCTGAACCCTGTTGCCTCGCAACCTTGCTTAGTCATCCAGTAGCCTTCAGTGGACTGGTGGAATAGGTTTGGGGTCCTGAGGGGTGAGAGACCCTAGAAGATGCACTCCCCACCCCCATGGATGTGGCTGTGCCCAGAGGCTGGCAGTGCCCTGGGGTGGGGTGACAATTTTTTCTCCTAGTACCTGAAGGACTCTTGAATTTGAATTCCTAGCATTCCCTGTGACGGGACAGGACGGGGGAGATGGGGGCAGGGGAGAGGGTACAAGCCCCACCTAGGGTGGTGTCCCCAGCAGCAAGGGGCAGACAGAGCCAGGAGCCTGGGAAGGAAGCAGGATGGCAGCAGGGGCAGCGGTCAGAGCCTGGATGCTAGTCCTCTGCCTGTGGGGTGAGCCACTCCCCCACCACCAACCCTCCCTGCAGAAGGCACCCCGCCCCGTCCCCAAATCTCCCCGCCAGCTTTCCAGGAACCTGTTTACCGCTTTCCAGTCTCCCTCATCCTCCCTGTTCTAGTCTTATTAGCTCCCATCTCCCTGCCCTCCATCGTGGTGCTGTCTCCCAGGGGCAGTCACAGGGGACCAAAACATCACAGCCCGGATCGGGAAGCCACTGGTGCTGAACTGCAAGGGAGCCCCCAAGAAACCACCCCAGCAGCTGGAATGGAAACTGGTAAGTGGGGCTCCTGTGTCTCCACTTCTGGGTACACTAGTGAGATTCGTGTCCCCTCCTGCCCACCTCCTTTCTTCATCAGTCCTTTCCCAAAGGGCCTGCACTGTTGAGGCCCCTCTCCTTTGCCCCCAGAACACAGGCCGGACAGAAGCTTGGAAGGTCCTGTCTCCCCAGGGAGACCCCTGGGATAGCGTGGCTCGGGTCCTCCCCAACGGCTCCCTCCTCCTGCCGGCTGTTGGGATCCAGGATGAGGGGACTTTCCGGTGCCGGGCAACGAGCCGGAGCGGAAAGGAGACCAAGTCTAACTACCGAGTCCGAGTCTATCGTAAGGGTTCCCAGGACCTCTTCACCACCCACCTCTCATCTAAGGAAAAGCCTTCGACCCCAGCCCTTGACTCCTTGGCCCTGGCCTGGGAGAACTTGACTTCAGCTGCCCCCATTCCCACACCCAGGGTGTGAGAATCTTCAAAGCTGTGACCTCTGATAGGAATTTTCCCTCCTTCAGAGATTCCTGGGAAGCCAGAAATTGTTGATCCTGCCTCTGAACTTATGGCTGGTGTCCCCAATAAGGTAGAGGATGAAAAGGGGAGATGTGGAAAGGGGTCCTGAGGATGGGAGGGGAGTGTAGCTCTGTGTGTGTGTGTGTGTGTGTGTGTGTGTGTGTGTGTGTGACTCAGTTGTGTCTGACTCTTTGCAACCCCATGGACTGTAGCCCACCAGGCTTCTCTGTCCATGGGATTCTCCAGGCAAGAATACTGGAGTGGCTTGCCAGTTCCTTTTCCAGGGGATCTTCCTGACCTAGGAATCGAACCCGGGTCTCCCACATTGCAGGCAGATTCTTTACCCTCTGAGCCACTGGATTCTCTTATTTCCAGAGATGATGAAGTTGATTTTTCCCCAGGTGGGGACATGTGTGTCCGAGGGGGGCTACCCTGCAGGGACTCTTAGCTGGCACTTGGATGGGAAAACTCTGACTCCTGATGGCAAAGGTGAGTCCCAGAGTCTCCCCTCCCAGCTGCCTTCTTTCTGAGCCCTCTCCCACACCCACCCTGGAATGTCTCAACTTGTCTTCCCCCAACCACAGGAGTGTCCGTGAAGGAAGAGACCAAGAGACACCCGGAGACAGGGCTTTTCACACTCCATTCGGAGCTGATGGTGACCCCAACTCGGGGAGGAGCTCTCCACCCCACCTTCTCCTGTAGCTTCACCCCTGGCCTTCCCCGGCGCCGAGCCCTGCACACGGCCCCCATCCAGCTCAGGGTCTGGAGTGAGCACCGAGGTGGGGAGGGCCCCAGCGTGGGTGAGCACATGTCGGAATGTATGACCCTCAGGAAGGGGAGGGTTCAGCCCGTGGCCACTGGGACCACACACAGGTAGGACTCTCAACCCCATCGCCTTCCCACCCCCAGACACTGTGCCACTGGAGGAAGTCCAGTTGGTGGTAGAGCCAGAAGGGGGAGCAGTAGCTCTTGGTGGGACCGTGACCTTGACCTGTGAAGCCCCTGCCCAGCCCCCACCTCAAATCCACTGGATCAAGGATGTGAGTGACCCGAGAGGGGGCTGGCAGGTAGCAAGATACATAATTGGCAATTCCGAAGGCAGGGGGTGGGAGCCTGGAGCTCTTTCTCTTCCACAATCATGGAGAGAGAGGCAGGCCAGGAGGTACGAGGGTATCTGAGGCTGTGGAGGCGAGGACAGAAGTATGGGATGTGTGGACAAGCGGTTTAATAGTCTCCTGTCCCTCCTTCCCCCACCAGGGCAGGCCCCTGCCCCTTCCCCCTGGCCCCGTGCTGCTCCTCCCAGAGGTAGGGCCGGAGGACCAGGGAACCTACAGTTGTGTGGCCACCCATCCCAGCCATGGGCCCCAGGAGAGCGGTGCAGTCAGCATCAGCCTCATCGGTGAGACCTCCCTGAGTTCCAGGCCAACCCTGAGGCTGGCTGAGGGACAGTGCAGGCCCCAGTTCCCCACCCTACACTAGCACTGTCCCCAAGAGCCACCCCACCCCGCCCTCAATGCAGCCACACCCAGGTCTCCTCTGCCCGACACAACCCAAGAGAACAGCCTGGCCCTTTAAGGGACTAGGGTCTGGGGTTCCCACTAAATAACTGTCTTCCAAACTGAAGCCTTCCCTTCTGACATTATTTTCCAGAAACAGGCGAGGAGGGGACGACTGCAGGTGAGGGGGTTGGATAAAGTCAAAGAGAAGCAGATGGGCCTCAACAGGACTGAGGGGCTGGTCCGCCAGAAAGGAACTGTGAGTGGTGGGGCCGTGCCCTCAGTTGTCCCCATCTCCATACAGGCTCTGTGGAAGGGCCGGGGCTGGAAACCCTAGCCCTGTCCCTGGGGATCCTGGGAGGCCTGGGGACAGTCGCCCTCCTCATCGGGGTCATCATGTGGCATCGAAGGCGGCAACGCAGAGGACAGGAGAGGTGAGTGGAGGAAACCAGACACCTCAGACTGAGAACTGCCAGGCAGGAAGCAGGGGTGTGGGGGTAAGAAATGATGGCATGCTGGAAACCGTGTGCAGATTCTCCCCAATCCTCCTCCCCAGGAAGGTCCCGGAAAACCAGGAGGAGGAAGAGGAGGAGCGAGCGGAACTGAACCAGCCAGAGGAGCCCGAGGCAGCAGAGAGCAGCACAGGAGGGCCTTGAGGAGCCCACGACCACACCCCATCCATCAGCCCCCTTTTCTTTTCCCACACTCTGTTCTGGCCCCAGACCAGTTCTCCCCTGTATAATCTTTAGCCCACCTCCCCCAAACTTTCTTCCACAACCAGAGCCTCCCACAAAAAGTGATGAGTAAACACCTGCCACATTTGCTGTTGTGTGCTGTGTGATGCCCTCTCCCCCATGCTTCCCCGCACCACACCAACATCTGCTCAAGTTGAGGAGAAGATGCTCCTGTCTTGAAAGGAAGGAGGGACGGACACAGGTAGGCAGAGCGAATACATCTCACCATGTTTATTGAATTTATCATAAAGGAGGTAGTGAGGGGAGGGAAGCACTTGAGAGTCAGGACCCACATTAGACACTGGGGAGAGAAAAATTAAATTAAATCAAGGGGATCATGGGGGAAGAGTCAGAGGGAGCCTTGCCCACCTTTCAACATCAAATCAAGAAATATGGGGGAAAGCAAAGGATCGGGAGAGAGGAGAGACAGACACTGTCTTTAGTCCATCCTCCTCTCCCAGAGCTGGGAGTTAGGATGCTACTAAGGGAGCAGTTCAGAGCACAGGTTCTCCCATCCTATGCAAAGATGTTACTCCTCCACACATCCTCGTGGAAAGTGACCAGGGTTGGCCTTAGCCAACAGAAATGAAGGGCCGGGGGGTGGTGGTGTCCAGGAGTAAGGAAGGGTCAGCAGGGACCCCCAATACTGATTCTCCTCTGGCTGATGGTAGGCAGGAAGGAGACACAGCTCAAATACTGAGCAGCCAGAAAAAGAAGAAGATGGCGAGAAACAGGAAGAGGGAGTCCTGCCAGCTGGAGGCCGGGTGACCCTGTCCCAGATCCACACCTGTGGGAGAGAAGAGAGCTGTCAAAGAAGCATCCATTCATAGGCCAGGGGATTCAGAGGACTTGCTGGTAGCAGTTGAGGGCAGACTCTTACCTGTACCCCGACGGAACGGTTCATGGGTATTGAAGACGGTGGTGAAAAAGCCAAAGGGAAAAGCACCAACACCAAATGAGAAGTGAAAGCCCCCAGTATCGCCAAATGGCTGGAATCCCTAGGGAGGCGGAGAAGGTCAGTGGGGAACTGGGCAAGTCTTTGGCAAGGTAGAACACAAATCAGACAAGACTCACCCCTCTGCTCTCAGGAGCGGGTCGCTGGCCCTGGGGGCGGGGTGGGGTTTTCAATCTGAGCAAGAGGAAAGGGACTATCAATATTCCCTCCTCTTCTACACCCCACTCCCCCGACAGAAGTTTCCACTTTCCCTCAGTACCACCTCCCCTCTCTTACCTGGGATCCTGGGGCTTCTGGCTCCCTCGCCCATAGAGGGGGACAACATTTTCTCTGCTGATCCCAGCTTTGCACACTGGGCACTCTTGCCTCTCTGGCCGTGTCTCCAGCCACTGGGGGAAAAAAATGTGGTTTCCAGTACACAGAAGGATTCTTCCAGCTCCTCAGACCTCCCCATCTCCCTCTTCATCTCCTCTGAGTACGCACCTGATGAAGACAGGGCCAACTGCAAGGGGGAAAAGAAAGGTCAAACCAGTTGAAACCAAACACAAAAGCGATACCTACCCAACCTCAAGAGTCCCACCTTGCTGTTACCAGGTATTACCTGCTGTTTCTTTTCATATTTTCCACAACTCCTACCATGCCAGCCAATTTGGCCATCCTGCTTCTCTAACCTTCCAAAGCTACATCCATTCTCAACAGGCTCAACCCTCACCTCTCTCCTCTCCCCCTGCCGCCGCCCCCCCCACCCCATACATATACAAATCCTCACCCCTCCCTTCTCTGCTTTTCAAGTTAATTTCCAGTTTTCTTCAACCAACCTTTTCCAGGCTCCTTTCAGCCCGTCTCATCCTTGCCCCCATCACTCCCCAACCAAACCCCCTTTAGACCAGCACCTTCTCCCACTATTCCTTTTCCTATCTCCTATGCTCAATAAAGACCTTACTTCCACACTTCCTTAATCTTTGGAGGCTGCTCCTCCACAGTGCTCTTGTCCCCAGGTTTCTCATACCACCCCTTGATACAGCTCATCTGAATGTGATCCCACGTTCTCTAGATCTCCCCTAAACTTGCAGTCTAATCAGTTCCCAACTGTACAGCTAAGACCCTTCAAGTTCCAGAGGTAAGGTGGCTCGGGTCTCACCTGCACACATGTGCGGTGCCCACCTCCTGCGCCCCATTTCTTCTTAACACACTAGTTGGCGCCTAGTTCCTATGACTTTCCACGGGTCTCCTCTATACAGAAGTGACCCTCTAACCCACACATACCCAAAAAGACGCAAGAAGCCCCCTCAGGCCTCACCTACGAAAATGTGCCCTCCGATTACCCGTATGACTGTGGCACCCCCCACCCAAACCTCCTCAGTATAGATGTGAGCCCCACTTCTTTTTGCCCCTCTCAGATTCTCACCAGTACAGGTGGCCACACACACTGACCACAGCTTCCCGAGCAGTCTCCAAACATATATTACATTCGAAGGTCGCGCCCGCCCCGCCCCGCTCGCGGTTTGGCCCTTCGGTGCCCCCGTCCTCCTCCTCCGCTGCTGCCATGGCCGGTACTCTTTCGCCCCCCGCGTACCCCTTAGTCCCCTGAAACACACATACAAACGCCCAGCGAAACGAGAAACCTCCTCCGGCCCACGGTCTTTGGGCAGGCGTCAAGGTTTTCTAATCACTATTGGCCTGAATACCTGCCAATCATACAGAATCGGAAGGAATGATTGGTCCAAAATGAGGGGGAGGAAAGAGGATTACGCGGCTCCGCCCTTGCACAATGACTATTGGCCGACACAGTCACAGTTAGTCTGCAATGCCACGGGATTGGTAACAACTCCATACGTCCTGTCGACCAGCTAGGGCGGGCTTTATTCGTCTGAGTAACTGCCAGTCATAACCAAAGGCCAGAAGCAATTGGCTCAAGACTGCTTAGACCTCGCCCACTACAAGCCCCAGTCTTTCTTTTACTTCCTCTTTCAGAGAACGTTCGGATTCCTATTGGACTTTGGAGCGTTTGGCTCCGAAGCAACTGATTGGCTAGAGCTCGACGGAAAATGGTAGCTAGGTAAACTGCGCGTGCGCAACAGGCGGAGGGACGAGGTGGGTCAATCCTATGAGGATTGAGCCTTCTCTGGTCCCACCCCTTCACCTCTATACTGTCGCCATGGTGACTGCTCTACAATTGGCGGGGTTTGGGGTTCAAAGGCCTCGGCTCAGCCTCATCCGGGTCCTCCGACTGCGGTCTCTCTCGACTGATTGGACCTCTTTTTTCGCCCCTGATTGGCCGAGATCGGGAAAGACAGCGAAGAGCTCGCAAAAGAGGACAAATACTAGGGTCGCAGGGTTCAAAATGGCTCCGGGCTCCTTCGGTGACGTAGAGAGCAGAACTTGGGTCCGCCCCTCCCTCTTAGTGAAGAAGGGAGCAGGACTAGGATTAGCCCGACGTTTGGATGGTGCGAACATCGATCTGCAGCGCTGGTGTTAACCCATCTCCCTCGGCTGGACGACTCAGCCCGCCCCTCTTTAGGTGATTTACAGAACAGAACTGAACTAAGGCCCATCCCCTTTTTAACGTGGCACATAGTAGAACGGGTTGACCTCGACTCCGTTTTACATCTTAAAAGCAGAAAAGGCCTAGCCCCCTCCCTTTGTGAGTGGGTGCAAAAAAGGCAAGGCCCGCCCCCTTTTAGTCGACCCGCCCCTTCTTTCTCCTGTGCCCAGCGGAACTGGGGTCTTCCTCCTGGGCTAGACCCTTGGGGCTTAGGCAGGCTGCTTCAGAGCTTGGGCCTTTCGCACAAGTTTGGGCCTCTTCTACAGTCAGTGGCCCTCACTGTAGCCCAAGGAGCAGAACTAGGTAACAGTCCTGCCATTACCAGTGTTCTTTACATCCTGTTCAGGGGCATGGAAACTTTCAGGGCAAAGGTAACTTGGGGCTGGAGGCCAGACACAAGTTGAGGGTTCTTCAACAACATCCTGATAAAAGGCCTCACGTGACTCAAGTGAGGAAAGATGAGAAATTAGGAGTCGCCTATGGCAGAAAAGGTTAAGGTTCAGGCGACGACGTGTAGAGGTTTAGGGAAAAGGTCATTGAGAGGGAGAAGAGGAGACCAATAGGAGTGGAGAGTGATGGGATGATTCTGACGAGGGGATGATGGGAGTATGGTGGAGAGAGAGCTAGGTACATGACTACAAAATTAAGGAGGCATGCTCATCCCAGAGGAATCTGCATTCTTCCTCACTTTTTCAAGAAATTAAGCCTAATTTCCATTGGAAGAAAAGCATACATCTTTTCTATGTTGCAGAGATGGGTAGTCAAAGCGTGGGTGAGTAAAGAGACTGATACGAAGGAAGAAAGTAGAAAAAGTACTGAGGTTAAGGTACAGCCTAGAAGGACAAGGGCCTGAGAGTGTTCCTTCTCCCCAAAGACCAGGATGGGGGGCGGGCAGTGGAGGAGGGAGCTGGACTGCTAGGAGATAGTGGCAGGGACAAAGGGCAGAGATCAGATGAGGGTTGGAAGGTGAGGTGGGGTGACATCTCGTCTCCATCGAGCCCTGGAGAGAAAAAGAAGAGAGGTGAAGAATCCAGGGCATATAGTAGGTGCTTGATAAATACTTGAACTTGAATAGGGAACAGGAGGGGGGACCTGGAGAAGGGTTGGAGTCGGAGGGAATAAGCAGCAGGTGTGGGAGTTGAGGAGAAAAAAAAGAAGCCAATTGACAATATGAGGAGAACTGATGGAGAATGAGAAGGAATACAGCAGCAAGGGACACACAACCCATGTGTGCCGAAAGGAAGTTGGAAGAAAAAACATGCAGCTGGAGCCAGAGAAGGCCAGAGAGACCTGCCAGAGAGACCTAAGCAGAGCCCCGCTGAGCCCTCGTGGGGCGGAGCTAGCCAGAAACTGAAAGATGTGGGGAGGAGATAACAGGGTCCCCGGGAGGCGATTGGCAAAACTGGGCGCCCATCACCGCCCCCTACTTCCTGGCCAGCCCCGGAAATCAGCGGGCGTGGGGAGGGGTGGCGGGGGATAGCGGCAGCAGCAGCAGCCCCAGCCCTCAGAGAGACAGCAGGAAGGGAGGGAGGGAGGGAGCTAAGGGGACAACCCCCCACCATTCCTACCGCTATGGGCCCAGCCTCCCACTCTCACCTCCCCTCCTTCGGCCGGGGCTAGGACACCCCCAAATCCTGTCGCCCCCTTGGCACCGACACCCCGACTGAGGCAGAGACACAGCCACCCGCCACCACCGCTGCGGCAGCCTGGCTGGGGAGGGGGCCAGCCCCCCAGGCCCCCCACCCCACTGAGGTGGGGGCAGGAAAGGGATGGGAGGAGGAGGGAGGAGGGTGCTAAAAGGGACGTGGAGGAGGGGATGGGGGAGAGATTGGGTCTGGGAGGGCGGGCTTGGGGAGAGGGTTGATGGGAAAAGGATAAGGGCCGATGGGGAGAGGGTTGCTGGGGAAAGGAGAGGGGGCCTGAGAGGGAGGAAGAATGGAAGAGACACAAGAGGGAGGAGAGAGGCACACCCTGTGAATTTGAGATGGGGGTGTGGACAGGGAATCTTGGAGAGGAAATTCCCATCACCTTCCCAGTTCCTTTTTATGCCCTTTGGCCCCACATAACTCTTAGGGGGTTGTGGCAGTCAGAAGGCAGTTTACTGCCCTCCTTTCCCCAGCAGAATTGGCTTCCTAGGAATGCCCTCAGACACCTGTGTTTCTGTGTAGGCACAGGACCTCTTGTTTCTCAGTGGCCTTCGGTACTGTGTTCGACCCTTACTGACATACAGATTCCTCGTAGGGGGCCATGTTTTCTACACTGAGTGGGTGTGCCTTTGACATGTTTAATGGCTTCTATGCCGGTAGTGTGCCCAGTGCTATCCACAGGCTGTGGAGAAACGATGTGTTATTTTCCGTCAGAATTGCCTGTTCTTGTATCTTATGTCCATGTCTCATAGGCAGTCTTGACATGTTCATGTCTGTGTGTTCTCATCTATTGCCTCTATTGTGTGGTTTCGTGTTTCTTGCCCATGTTATGTATTTGCACGTTTACTTTCACATGTAGACATCATACCTTACTTTGTTCAGGCCCACAGGTGCTGTGTTTAGTCCCACTCTATGCAGGTGTCTTCGTGTGTGGGATCTCATGGCTTAACTGACTAGCGCACACTCGGTTGTGATCGGATTGGCCTGTTGAGTGCCTGTGTTTTCTTAGTCCGGGTTCACACCACCCACGCGCATGGCCCTTCGCATGATGTGCTGATGTGACATGTCCACAACTCGTGTGCTCCTGGTTAGACATGTATTTCATAATTTGGGGGCTAGTATAGTTTGTGAGCCATATGCTCATTAACTCCCTTGGCACTCCATTGTGCTTATGAATCCTCAGACATTTCCTGTTCTGCAGAGGAAAGGAACATCACATGTTAGAGAAGAAGATAACTGGGCCTCCATGCTGCTGAAGAACCACCCCCATATACCTTCCCTTGCTGACCCCCTGGCCTGTGTCTCTTCATACACGTTATCTCTGGTGCCTGTGCACAGTCTGTCCATGAAGCTCAGTGCATAGCACAGGGTTAGCCCTGCCAAGCACATTAACTGTTCCCTACTCTTTGCACTGTTGGCACGCATTTGATGACACCGGCATGTTTCCCCTGTGGCGTGTTAATCCCCATTCTGTATGTTTCTCTTTGTGTGAAACAGTGTGTTCCATCTTGTCGCGATTGTTGTTCTGCCGTCACAGTGACCCTGTCTCGTGTGTGTGCATCCAGAGTAGGTTACTGTTAGGCCTGTGTGTTCATTGCCTTCTTGGTGCCTTTTCTTTTCCTAGTTAATAGTCCTCAAGAGGGTAGCTATCTGATTCATGTTCAGAAGTGTTGTCCCATTAATTACAGCTAGGTGGGTATGTACACATCCTTATAACCTGTCCAGCAAATGTTTATTGAGCATCTTCTCTGCTTCATTCTGTCCTGGGCATTGGGAATAAGACAGTTCCTTCCATCAGGCTGCCTGCAGGCTAGGGAGGGAAACACAGTTGACCTCAGGCAGCTACATGCTGTTTAGTGTTGAGGTTAGTGGTTCTCAGACTTAACGTGCACATCAGATTCACCTAGATGGCTTGTTAAAACACTGGTTGATGGGCCCAACGCCCAAAAGTCCTGTTTCAGAAGATCTGGGGTGAGAGCCAAGGATTTGCACATCGGATTCACCTAGATGGCTTGTTAAAACACTGGTTGATGGGCCCAACGCCCAAAAGTCCTGTTTCAGAAGATCTGGGGTGAGAGCCAAGGATTTGTATTTCTACACTTTGAGGACCAGTGATCAAGATAAAGTATAATGAAAACACGAGCCTGGAGGAGTTCAGGAAGAACTCCAAAAAGTAACACCAAACTGGATGAGGCAAGTGAAGAGGTGGAGGAGCATCCCCGCCAAAGGGAACAGCCTGTCATGACCTAGAAGCATGAAAGATCATGGTGTGTCTGAGGAACTGCAGTTAATCGGTGTACTGAAGCGAAAAAGATTCTTGTAGGGATGTGGCCAAAGATGTAAGCAGATGTCAGCCTGTCCAGAAGGGACTTTGGGCAAAAGATATGCTCAGATTGGTGTCGTGGAAACATCCTGTGGTTGCCGTGTGGAAGATAGATTGAAGGGGATGAGTTAGGAGCCTGTGGCACATAGTCTAGGGGAGAAACGCTGGTTCCAGCTTGTGGGGAAAGTAGGATGAAGCCACACTGAGAGCCTGCTGTCCTAGAGCTGGCACAGTCCTGTTTCCCCTATCACCTGTTACCTTCACCCTTGGCAGTGGACTTACCGTGGAGCACAGTCCTTCTGTCGTGGAAGGGAGTGCCTCTGGCCTTGATATGAGTGATAGATATTTACCTGAACGCCGTTTTTGTGAATTGTGACCCTGCCCCCAACAGTGGGTCGGGGTGGAGGAAGGAGGAAGAGCCTAGAGAACAGATTCTGCATGCTTGCGCTTCTTCCTCCTGAGCTCCTTCCTCTCCCAGGCAGGTGGTATGATGACCCTTTTACTCTTTCGCGCTCCTCCTCTCACTTGGTGAGGCCTCGCACACTGCCTGCCGGACCACTGTGCCTCTAGTGTTGCTGGAAGGTGGGGGGGAGGGGATTTGTTTGCCTGTCTGTAGAGGCAGGGTTAGTGGACATAGGTATGTCCATGGGTTGATCTGGGAACAGGGAGCCTGCCTGGGTGGAGAGGGGTTTTACTGGGTATGCATTTTGCCATGCCTTTATCTGTCATGATTATAAATTTGCATGTGTGCATGAACAGGTCGGTCTTTGTCTGACTGTGTGTCTGGGTTTGCATTAGTGACAGCCTTTATTCTTGCCAGGCAGCCCTTGAGAATGTCTGCGTTTTGTCACGTACATGGTATCTCCTGTGTGCTATGTGTACACTTGTGTACAGATATTTATACAGACAACAGCATAACCAGTGACTAGGAGCACAAGCTGCTTAGGTTTAAGCTAGGAAGTACCTGTTGGGGTCATATCACCTCAAGTAAGTTTTTTAACCTCTCTGGGTCTATTTCCTTTCAAATGTGAATTGTGTGTTTTCATATTTAAGGACTTAACATAGTATATGGGCTTGAACCCACCTTCCAGTTCAGGAGACGTAAGAGACTTAGGTTTGATCCTTGTGTTGAGAAGATCCCCTGGAGGGGAGGGCATGGCAACCCACTCCAGTATTCTTGCTTGGAGAATCCCATAGACAGAGGAGCCTGGCGGGCCATAGTCCATAGGGTCACAAAGAGTCGGAAACAACTGAAGTAGCTTAGCAGCAATGGCAATGTAGTATATAGACCAGCCCTGTCCAACAGAACTATAATGTAAGCCACGTGTGTAATTTTTAATTCTCTCTTAGCTACATAAAAAAGGTAAAAGCAGGATGAAATTAATCTTAGTATACTGAACCCAGTATGTCCAAAAGGTTATAATTTCAGAATGTAATCAATATAAAAGGTTACTAATGGGATATTTTACATTGTGTTTTTATTCAACATCTTTGAAATCTGACATGTATTTGATACCTCTCAGTATCTCAGTGTAGAACAGGGCACATTTCAAGTGCTTAGTAGCCATATGTGGCTGGTGGCTACCATATTGAACAGCAGAGAGATAGACCATTATAAGAGCCTTACCAGCTACAAGCGTTAGCTATTATTAATGTCCCTGTATTGTTGTGTGTCTGTGAGCTGTGGATGTCCATGTCGTGTGTCTCTTGTGTGAATATATCTGGTGCCTTCAGGGACGGGTGGGAGGGCGGCCCTGAGCTCCCATCACCACAGGCCGCCCCCAACCCAGCCCTCCCCGGGTGCTGAGCTGTGGCCAGGGGCGGGGACTCTGCTGCTGCTGCTTTTCCTGCTGCTGCTCCTCCTGCTGCCCACTCTGTGGTTCTGCAGCCCCAGTGCCAAGTACTTCTTCAAGATGGCCTTCTACAACGGCTGGATCCTCTTCCTGGCTGTGCTCGCCATCCCTGTGTGTGCCGTGCGAGGACGCAACGTCGAGAACATGAAGTGAGGGCCCAGGGGCTTGGGGTGATGGAGGGAACTTCAGGGTCAGAAGCGCACAGTGGATGGGGAGGGCACTGAGTGTGCAGGAGCCACTGAGCCAGCCCAGGGACGAGGAAGGGGAGAAGACTGCCAAGGTGCCCAGGAAGATGGTAGGGTAGCGGGGAGCTGAGCCCTGCTGGTGGATGTATGTCAGCGGGTCCCGCTGGAACCCCTTGCCGTATGGGACCCCCGCAGGATCTTGCGCCTGATGCTACTCCACATCAAATACCTGTACGGGATCCGAGTGGAGGTACGAGGGGCCCACCACTTCCCTCCTTCACAGCCCTACGTCGTCGTCTCCAACCACCAGAGCTCCCTCGACCTGCTTGGTGAGCAGCCTCTCCTAGCCATACTGGGAACCGTCCCTGGGATCACCTCCCCTAGGGGTCCTACCCCCTCCCTCCTCTGGGACATTGTCCCCTTGCTCCCTCCACAGGCCTTGTTCCTGGGGCTAGAGCTGCCCTCAGAAGCAGGGTGATACACCTTCAGTCACCCTTTCTTTCTGGGGCTCCCCCTGCCGTCCCCCCGTCTACCCCTTCCTTTATCTCTGGTCCCTGGCGGCGTGGCTGAGGTGGGCCCACTTCCTGTGATGCTGATCCTCACCCTGCCCCCACCCCTGCCCCAGGAATGATGGAGGTGCTGCCAGGCCGCTGTGTGCCCATTGCCAAGCGGGAGCTGCTGTGGGCCGGCTCTGCCGGGCTGGCCTGCTGGCTGGCGGGAGTCATCTTCATTGACCGGAAGCGCACTGGGGATGCCATCAGTGTCATGTCTGAGGTCGCCCAGACCCTGCTTACACAGGACGTGAGTCACCCTGGGGAAATGGGGCTTAGAGGGTAGAACAGCTGTAAACTGATGTGCAAGGTCCACAGGCCTCAGAAATCCCACAACAGCATCATAATCATTTTCTGACCTCTCCATGTATGTCTTCCTTGACCCCATTTTTCCCCCAGGTACGGGTCTGGGTTTTTCCCGAGGGCACAAGAAACCACAACGGTTCCATGCTGCCCTTCAAACGTGGCGCCTTCCACCTCGCAGTGCAGGCCCAGGTGATTCCTACTTCCCCTTCTCCGGACCCGCAGTCCCCCACATCCCTTCCTGTCCTGGCAGAGGCTCGTCATGGGGGCCTCAGAAGGGAGCTCTGGGCTGAGCGCTTCTCCCCCACCCCCCACCTTCAGGTTCCCATCGTGCCCATCGTCATGTCCTCCTACCAAGACTTCTACTGCAAGAAGGAGCGCCGCTTCACTTCGGGTGAGGGCTCTGCGCAGATCTGGGGTTGGGGGTGGCAGGAAGGGCCATGAGAGAGGCTAGAGGAACATCCCCACGAGGCAGGAACTTCAGTCAGTGTCAGAAGGATGAGATGTCCACCCGATCGTGTAATGTGACCCCACATCAGCCGATAAGTGTTTATGAAGCAGCGCTGTGCCCTGCTAGGTGGTAACACTCCGTCCTTCCAGTAAGGGCCATTACTATCTAGCAGGGAAGATAAGCCTGTGTGTGCAAAGTTAGAGCATCCGGCGGTAAACACTAGACAGTGAGGACTGGCAGGGCATTAAGGTGTCTGGACTGGGGTTGGGGAAGGCCTCAGAGAGCGCGTGGCAGTTGCCCACGGCAGAGGGAAGGGAACTGAAAGGTGGAGGATGGGAGTAAGCAGCAGGAGAGCTCAGAGAGCAGGCTCCAGCGGTGGGCAGAGTCCCAGCAGACAGCCCTGATGGTGCTCATCCCCCTCGCAGGGCGATGTCAGGTCCGGGTGCTGCCCCCAGTGCCCACAGAAGGGCTGACACCAGATGACGTCCCAGCTCTGGCCGACAGAGTCCGGCACTCCATGCTCACTGTTTTCCGGGAAATCTCCACTGATGGCAGGGGTGGTGGTGACTGTCTGAAGAAGCCCGGAGGGGTGGGCGAGGCCCGGCTCTGAGCTCCCTTCCCATCTTCCCTCCCCACCCCCCGCCCCCCACCTTCTCCACACCTCCCAGCCCACCGGCCTGAAGCCGGGCCAAGCTCCTTATTTCCCCTCCCCACTTGTTCTCCTCTTTGGAATCTTCAACTTCTGAAGTGAATGTGGTCACAGCACCGCTCCCTGCCCCCGTCCCAGCCCTCCTCCCCACAGACTCCATTGCCTCGGTGCAGTCTCCACTCTGACCCCTGCCTCCTGTGCCATCTCGTCTGTGGGACAGTTGCCTCTCCCTCATCCTCAGTGGTTCAGCCTACACAAGGGTAGGAACACTCCATTCTGTCCCCAGTGGACCCTCTTCCTCTGTGGTCTTCTCTCCCACTCCACCTCACGTTGGCCAGTGGACTCATCCGTTCTGTGGAACAATTCCTCACTCCCACGTCCACGGACACAGTGGACTCATCCCTTGGTGAGGACATTCCTCACGCTGTGGCTGGAAGCTGATGCGTGGAATACTTCTCCCAGGCTCACCCTGGGAACATTCCTCAGCACCTTCTCCCTTCTTTCCATGGAGCCTCCTGTCAGTGGAGGCTGGACTCTTCTCACCCAGAGGTCTCATCCCTGCCCTAGCCCAGGTGCCCGGGCTTGAGCACACTCTTGGATGCCACATGTCCACTTCCACCCATCCCCTGGGTACAGTTGTTCAGTGGTCCTGGCCCTCCAGCGCCCTGCAGCCCTCCTGTACCATCCTAGCCGGGCACGAGGGGAAGCAGCATCTAACAGGTGCTGTACTCACTTCCCCCCCGGGAGCTGGGGAAAGGACCTGAACCCTGGCTGGAGGGGATGGGGAGGGCTTTTAATTTATTTCTCTTTTCTTTTGAGGCTTCCCTTCTCTGAGCCAGTTTTCATTTCCTCCCTATGGCAGTAGCCACTCCCTGCCTCCCACCCCAGACCTGTGCCCCAAAAACCGGGGAGGTGGGCTGGGAGCAAAAGGAGAGGGTGGGACCCAGTTTTGCGTGGTTGATTTTTATTAATTATCTGGATAACAGCAAGAAACCAAGAATAAAGATTGAGCGAGATCTGGGCACGTTCTGGCTGTTTTTGTTAAGGACTTAAGAAAGCAGTTCTCACCCAGGCATCGGCCCTAGCCGGAGGATTCAGGGGCGGCAGCCGCCTTCCTCCATTCTTTAGCTTCGCACGGTTTCCATTGTCCATGGCTCCTCAGTGGCAAATAGCCTTATCTGCAGCTCCCTAGCCAGCCAATCCCAGAGGATTAGTGAGTCCAGTTTCTGTATAAATTAGAGGGCAGGGACTCTGCAGAGGCTCCTTATCTTCACCCTTTGAGGCCTGGGCCCAGGCTGTTGTCCTCACAGGAGCCTGGTTAATGACAAGGAGACAGGCAGATACATCGACTGTGTACCTCTGGGATGCCTAGAGCAGGCCCTGGACGCTGAACAGATTGACAGCCTCTCTCAACAATAAGTGGAACCGCCACTGAGCTGGAGCACGGGGTACCAGAAGGAGGGGGTGGTGAAGTGCAGAAATCTGGGAAGGTATGGAGTGGGTGGGTGCAGAGGAAGGGATTTTGGATAAGAGAAAACTTGTGTTGGGAAAAGGTGTCTTGGGGAGATGGGGGTCCCCACCGAGAGGCCCATGGGGACTCACAGGTTCCCAGTCGCTCCTCCAGCAGCAGCACCTGGTCACTGAGAGACTCGATCCTATCGCCCCGGCCCCACAGCTCCGCCACCTGTTCGGGCTGCAGCTCTTCCGGGGGCACGGGCAGCACTGCTCGTACCCAGGCCCCAGCCTGACCGGCCCACTAGAAAGGAAGAGATACCGCAGCGGGGCAGGGAGGGGGACTGTCAGCTCTGCAAGTGTGGCCTCCCGGCATCTGCACTCACCTGCTCCAGCCTCTCCAGGCGCCCTCGCAGCTCGCGAATCTCCCGCTTCAGGGCACGCTCATCAGGTCCAGCCTCACGAACTGGGACCAAGGAGAGCAAGGGACCCAAGTCACTGCTGCCCCGGCCCTGCCTCTACTTGCCCCTGCTTCCACCCACTCACCGGCCACGTTGAGGATGCTGGCACTGGTCGCGGGCTCTGGGGCCCCCTCCGCGCAAGTGCGCCCATCAGGGCCCAGCACCAGGCCGGGCGGGCAGCCACAGGTGAAACTGCCCGCGGTGTTGAGGCAGCGATGCGAGCAGAGAGTGACGCTGGTCCTGCATTCATCCACGTCTAATTACCGGAAAGAGGAGGGGGCTGACGGGGGGCGGGGCGGGGATGGGCGCCACCCCCGAGGGAGGGCGAGCCGACTCACCCACGTGACAGTGCTTCCCACCCCAGCCTGGGGCGCACTCGCACTGGTCCGGCCGAACGCAGACACCTCCGTTCTGGCAGGGCTTGGCGCAGATGGCTGAAGGTGCAGGAAGTGAGGTTCAGAACCCAGCAGAAGGCCTGGCTCTCCGCCCAGCGGGGCGCACCTCCCCCCAAGGCCCGGGAAGCCCTAGCCTCACCTTCATCACAGGTGAGTGCCCCAGGATGCCGCTTCTTCCAGCCCTGGCAGCACACGGCGTGGGTCTGGCGCACCTCCCTCCGCACCTCCCTCCAGGCCACGCGGTACGTGGTCCTGGAACACAGCGCCGGGCTCTGGGCATTGGCCTATGTACGGGTCCTGGTCCTAGCTTTGGGGGTTTCCTCTTGAGAGACCCCGGGGTCCCGGCGGGGGACCCATCCTCACCTGTAGGTGCTGCAGACACGCCTTCCAGAGCACAGGGTCAGATAGGGCTTATATACAGGTTGGCTGTAGGACTCATTGTAACGGAGTGGGACCACCAGGGTCTGCTTGGAGCAGACCCCCTGACTGCACCCATGTGGGAGAAAGTGAGACACTGAGTGGGCCAGGCCCTGGGGAGCCAGAGCCCCACTTCCCTTCAGGCTCCACTGAGGCCCCACCCTCCCTAAACAGGACAGCCTCATCCCCCTCCTCAACTTGGTTTTGCCCCCTGTGAAGCCCCACCCCTGGCCCTGCCCCTTCTGTTGTCACCTCTCTTTGAGGGCTCCACCCTTGGCCCCCTCGCCTGTCATCAGTAGCAGGAGGAACCAGAGTCCGCCTAAGACAGTGTACTGCTCAGCCCTGGACCCCATGATTCTCCTTGACTTCAGACTGCCAGCTGCAGGCAAGAAGAGGTTAATAGAGGCCCTTCCCCTCTCCTAGTAACTTCTCCAGCTCCAGCGCTCCCAAGTACAGTCTGCTGGTACCCTGTAAGCCAGGCAGGACATTCATTTGCACACTTGCACTAGCCACCAGGATTGTAGCACCTGCACATATATTTAACACCCACCATCCTTTAGCACATCATGGTCCATGCAGCACCATACACGCTCACAGCCTGACACACTCCCTCCACCTCCCCTCAGGCCCCTCCTATCTCTGATGTGCCCTCTTCCATCCTAATCTTCTTACCTTCAAAATCTCAGATATCCACCATTACACCCCTTTACACCGTGTACACAACCCACGCACCTGGAGACCCCACCCTAAACACACTCCTACTAGCCTCACACCCCCACCACCACAGACACCCTGGACCCACTCCCCTTACTCAAACAACACCTCCAACTCACACTCACTCTAAGACTCTTAGTGACCCCACTCTTTCCCCATTGACATTCTCTCCCCACCTGTCTTTGCCTTTCTCCGGGAGACTTCAGGCCAAGCAGCCTCAGCAGCAGCCTCTCAGACTAGTGGGCGGGCTGCAAAGGGGAGGAGGGGCTGGGCCAGACAGAGCCCTCCCATCCCTGCCCCCTCCCATAAGCCTCCTCCCATAGCTGGAGCTTGGTCAATTCAGTGGGGTCCAAATCCCCACTGACCTTCACCCCCACCCCCTGCAGCCAAGTAAAGAGCCCCCTAGAAGTTTCTTCTCAACCCTGAGGCCCCTTATTTGGAACTCCCCCAAGTCAACAGAGGCTACTGGCTTTGAAACACCTGGCCTTTGCCCTCCGCCCTTCAACCCAACACAGATGGGAAGAACTGAGGGGCAGGGAGAGGCAGAGCTGGCAGAGAAGAAAGTAGGGTTAGGTCATGGGAGAAAAGGCAAGATCAGCTGAGGAAAGAAAGAAGGGCGAGATACCACAAAGGTGGGGGAGGTTGGGGAGGCTGTCCAGGGCACTGAGGGAAAAATTGCCCCCATTTCTTGGTGACATTTGTTAGCGCCTGGGGGGCGGAGAAGGGGCAGAATTGAGTCAGCCACCGCCCCCCGTGCCAGAGCAGACAGGGCCTTATTGTCTCTACCAAGATTCCTTCTTTCAAGGAAGAGGAGGCTCATTGTCCAGCCCCTCACCCAGCTCTGGCCTACAAAGGTCGAAAAGGGGCACAACAAATGCCCACCCTGACCCTGAGTCCCCTCGTCTAGCCTGGGGGTGGCTGGTGCATTCCACCCATGAGGCTGGGGCCCAAACCATTAGGGCCCTGGGTTCAGCCCCGCAATCGCAGGCTGGAACAGGAAGAGAATTGTCTTCAGCAGGAAAGAACCCGCAGAGAATCAGGAACCCGCACAGAATGGGCATTGAGAGAGCGGAAACACCAAGGGGGTCCCACCCCAGACCAGGCATCCGGGCACCCAGGCCCCAGGCTCTCCATCCCCACCCTCCTGGGGGAGCCAGGCCCCCCTCACCTGGAAATGAGGCAAGCCACACTGAGTAAATGGAACTTTATTTTCATAAATACAGGGGTAGTAACACACCCATTCAAGGGTAGCTAAAAGAGGGGCTGGAGCCTCAAAGAAACTAGGCTCCCAGAGGGCACCCCAATACTGAACATAGGGACTGGGGGATCCCCAAACCTGAGATGGGCCTCACAGGCCACAGATATTCCCCAACACTGACACTTCAAGAACAGAACTGTCCCCATAGTGGAGCCTCAGAACCCCACTCTCACAGGTGGTCCTTCCTGAGGGGTTGGGAGGGCTCACAACAGGGGAGTTCAGAGGAAAAGGGAACGTAGGAAAAACAGAAGCTAAAAATGTCCTGAGTGGCTTGGAAGGAGACCCTGTGGTGGGCAGGGGCTGGGTTCTCCTCCTGTAGAGCCAGAGACAGAGGAGCAGCAGCAATAGGAGCAGCCACAAGTTAATCTTGTTTCCCACTTCCCAGCCTTGGCCTTGGCCTTGGGGGGCATGGGAGAGCATGGAGCAACCCCCAAAAGGGAGGACACGAGATGGAGGAGACCAGGATGTGTCATTCACAGAGGAGGGGTCCTGGAGCCCTGGCTGGTGGGGCAGTGTGGGACCAGTGAGGTGGTCACAGGCACACCAGGGCCTGACATCCAAGGCTCCACTTAGTCTCTGGGTGGGGAGTTCCTGAGGGGTCCCTCAGGAGAGCCAAGGTTCAATGCAGGTCTCATAAAGGGTACGGTTGGAGTGCCAGGCCGTGTGGGAGATGCCAGCCATTGGACACCTCACTATGGCCCCCCGGGCCAGGAGAGTCTTCAACCCAAAAGAGTCCCGCAGATAAACCTTCAAGGTGGGTCAAGGGGCAAGGAAGAAAGACACAGGGAGAGACAAGGTAAGTTCCCGCGGGCGACCCAGACCCCCTCCCCACAGGGTAGACCCTTCAGCTTCCATGTCAGTGGCAGAGAGAACCACAGTGTGTGCAGAAAGGGAAAGTAATTCCAGGGGACTCACCAGTTGCTTCTCCATCTCTAAGACTGTCTCATTTGCATCATAGAAACCAAAGAAGCTGCAAAGAGATTTGGGGCATAAGAGGGAGGTTATCAGAGTGGGAGAAAATCAAGGGCGGGTAGGGACCTTCAGGAACTCATGGCCTGTTGGGGACACAAGCAGCAAGGGAGACACTCAAAATATTTAACTGGGTGTCATGTACCTCAGGCTTCCCAGGTGGCGCTAGTGATAAAGAACCTGCCTGCCAATGCAGGAAACATAAGAGATGTGGGTTCAATCCCTGGGTCGGGAAGATCCCTTGGAGGAGGTATGGCAACCCACTCCAGTATTCTTGCCTGGAGAATCCCATGGATAGAGGAGCCTGGAGGGCTCCATAGGGTCCATAGTCCATGAGGTCGAAAAGAGTTGGACACGACTAAGCAACTTAGCACACACACATCATGTACCTCAGGAGGTAATGGATTGAGGATACAGTATCGCTTCTGCACAATTCCCATCAAAAATGCATAAGCTGAATCTAATCATGAGGAAATAAGCAACAAACCCAAACTGACGGCCATTCTATAAGATAGCTGGCTTGTTATGTTTCAACAAATATCAATGTCAGACTTCCTAGTGGTCCAGTTGTTAAGACTCTGCACTCCCAATGCAGGGGCATGGGTTCAATCCCTGGTGGGGCAGTTCCGCGTGCCGGGGTCAAAAAAAAAATCAGTGTCACAGACTTACTCCAAGGAATTATTCCAGATTAAACAAAACTAAAGAGACATGAGAACCAAATGCAACATGCGATCCTGAGTTGAATCTTCCACTGGATCTTTTTCCTATCTGGAAGATTTTAGGAAAATTTGAATAAGATCTACAGAGAATTTTATCAGTGTTAATTTCCTGATTTTGATAATCATATTGTAGATACATAAAACAATGTCCTATATGTAGAAAATAGACACTGACATACTGAAGTCTTAAGGGTTCATATATACACATACTCCACATATATATATATGGATATACAGAGGGAGAGACAGAGGACACTAATATAAACTTGGTAAAATGTTTACATTTGGGAAATCTAGGTGAAGAATATACAAGATTGCTTTGTACGACTCTGGTAATTTCTTGAGTATAAAATTATTTCCAAGAAAAAGTTTTTTAAAATTTTTTAAATTAGGAATATTTAACTGTCATGGGCACTGAGTGAACACAGGCCAAGAATAACTGAACAAAGGCTAACAGTACTAAGTCCACTGGGCTATGGGAGCAAAGAGGAGAGGTTACTACCCTAGTTTTAGAGGGTCAACAAAGGCTTCCCAGCGATTAACCTGGACTAGGGAAAGCTGTCCCAGGCAAATGGAACAACAAGAGCAACACAGAGGTATGGCACAGCTGGGTACATTGGGGTGCTGGGTTGGGGGCCTGGAGGCCACGCTGAGGGACTAGATTTCTTAAGCTGTAGGAAAGCAGTAGGGGCACAAAGACCTGGATTGGAACTCCAGCTCTGCCACACACTCCCCACTGTGTGTGGTTGATCATGTTGCTGATTTCCTTTGTCCTATACAAGAATACCTCCTTTGTAGAGAGGAAATAAAACATTGTGGTTAAGTCAGACAGCCTGACTTCACCACTTACTAACTCTATGAATGTAGGCAAGTTATTTAATCTCTTTGTACTTAAGTTTCCTTACAAGCCAAAAGAGGATAATAGTAATTATCCTATAGAGTTGTTGTGAGGATTAAATGAGCTTTATTTGCAAAGTACTTAGAGCTACTTCTTATCTTCATAGGGTTGTAGTAGGTGTGAAATGAGATAAAAATAAATCCCACCTTTAACTACTATAAGGCATGTTACTCCTTCATTTATAACCTTCCAATGTGTTCCCATCTCACTAAGAATTAAAAAAAGAAAAAAAAAAATCAAGGGTCATGGTTGCCGGGGCCAGGGAGTAGCAGGGATAAGGAAGTTACCATTCTTTAAAGGGTTATGGGGTTTCAGTTTGGCAAGAAAAAACTGTAGATAGATGGTGGTAAGCTTACACAAGAATCTGAATGAACTTGAAGCCACCAAACTTACCCTTAAAAACGGTAACTTTTATGTTGCATATATTTTAGAAAAAGTGACATTACTTTGCCCCACAAAGGCTTTCTGTATCTGGCCCCCTTCTACCTCTTTCACCTCTTTCACCTTCACCCCAGCTTACTACCCTCTAGCCGCATGGACCTCCTTATTCCTCAGGCCTGCCCGTGTCTTTGCAGGTGCTAGCTACTCCTCTTCCCTAGAAGAACAAACCTAGACATTCCAAGCATATTAAAAAGCAGAGACATCACTTTGCCCACAAAGGTCCATACAGTCAAAGCTATGGTTTTTCCAGTAGTCACGTATGGATGTGAGAGTTGGACCATAAAAAAGCTGAGCACCGAAGAATTGATGCTTTTGAACTGTGGTGTTGGAGAAGACTCTTGAGAGTCCCTTGGACTGCAAGGAGATCAAGGAAATCAACCTTGAATATTCATTGGAAGGACTGATGATAAAGCTGAAGCTCCAATACTTTGGCCACCTGATGCAAAGAGCCAGCTCACTGGGAAAGACCCTGATGCTGGGAAAGATTGAGGACAAAAGGGAAAGGGAGCAGCAGAGGATGAAACAGATAGCATTACTGACTCAGTAGACATGAATTCAAGCAAACTCCAGGAGACAGTGGAGGACAGAGGAGCCTGGCATGCTGCACTCCTTGGGGTTGCAAAAAGTCAGACACAACTCAGTCTCTGCTCAAATGGCAGCTCTTCCAGAAGGACTTCTCTGGCCACTATCTAAAATAGGCCCCAGCCATCCTCTAATCCTTTCCCTGCCTTATTTTATCACTGTCTGATATATATATTTACATTTATTATCTGTCTCCCCTACTAGAATGTGAGCTACATAATAGCATAGACTTCTCTTTCATTTACTGCTGCATTCCAAGGGTCCAGAACAGTGCCTGGGCACACAGTGCTTGATGAGTATTTGTTAAATGACTAAAGTAGATCAGGTGACATTTCAGATCACTCATGATGATCAGAGGCAGACACATAGTGCAATGAAGCCATGGGTTTTCCTGAGGAATAGGATAGAGGGGACAAGGTTTGAGCAATTACCTTTTACTTCCAGGTAAGTGAAAGAGCTGGTAGGAAATGTGATTACATGGCATGGAACTATAGACATGTGTTGTAGCGATTTGTCAATTTCCTGGTTTCACTATTGTGCTGTCGTTACATAGGATGCAGGCATTGGGGGAAACTGGGCAAAAGATACACAGGACTTCTCTAAACTATCTTTGCAACATCCTAAGAATCTGTAAATAGTTCAGAGTTCAAAGTTTTCACAAAGCGGGGCTGATAGGGATGGAAAGGAAGCAGAGTCAGCAAGGCTTAGTGACTGGCTAGATATAAGAGGTTGGGACATGACTCCCAGGTTTTGATCTTGGGTGACAAGATGGATGGAGGGTGGGGGGATTAACTGAACAGTGGAAGAAGCAGGCCAGTTTTAGAAATGAGATAAAGACTGGCTGGGATTGGGGTGTCCTTAGCCAACCTTCAGGCCACACAGTCCCTTATTACCTGGACTGCCAAGGAGTAATGACACCATCATCAGGGCCCCCAATCAGCACCAGGCGGCCCAAACGCAGAAAGTTCTTCCGCCAAGCTACAGGGTGGGAATAAGAGAGCCTCAGTTAGTCACAGGGGTCAGGCCAGGTTGGAAAGGGGAATATAGGAGGTCAGAGAAGCAGAAAATGGGACCAAGGTAGGAGCCTGGGGTCTTACCAGTGGCATTGGGATGGTCTCTTTCCCCATTGATCAGGGCCAGGAAGCTGCTGGCATTGAGGTACAAGTCATCATGGTGGGGGTCTGGGTACAAACAGCAGTTAGATGTCAGAGAAGCAGGGAGAAGAGGCAAGACCAGATGCTGAAAGACCAATCAGAAGGCTACAGTAATAGACAAGGTGCACAGTAATATGATAATAGCAGTAATAATTGTAAACATGATAGCAAACACCTTTTTCTAGCACCTGCTATGAGCCAGATACTGTTCAAAGCACATGACATTCATTATTTAATCCTCATAAACACAATACAGGTACGTACTATATCTTTATTTTATAGATGAGGAAAACAGTCGCAGAAAGGTTGAGTAACTTGCCCAAAGTCATGCAGCAGGACTAGGCTTCAAACCCAAGTAGTCTGGACCCAGCATCCATGATCTTATAAACTATAACCAGGTGTTTGCAAACTATGACTCATTAGCCAAATCCAGCTCACTGTTTCTATAAATAAAATTTTATTGCAACACAGACACATTCATTTACATATGGTATATGGCTGCTTTCACATGACTATGGCAGAATTGAGTGGTTGTGACAGAGACTATATGCCTGCAAAACCAAAAAAAAAAAAATTTACTGTCTGGCCCTTTAAAGATAAAGTTTGCCAACCCCTGCAGCAAGCTGTATTCTCTAAGGCAACAAAGTGAAACACATAAAGCAGTTTGAACAATAAATGTAAGTTATCATCATCATTGCTGTTAGTTATGGTAGAGGTGGGAGCAGCAGGCCCTACCGTCCAGGATGCCCTTAGCATGGAGGCCCCCGTTTGGCATGTCCTACTCACCGTGCCAGTAGTTGCAGATGGAGAATTCCTGGCCCCACGGGCTGTAGCAGATCCGGTAGAGGTTAGACCTCATGGAGGTGGGGAACAGCCACTTCAAATAGTTTGTGTCTGGCAAGAGAACAGCAGTGCCAAGTGGCCCCGAGCTTTGTGCCCTCAAGACTCAGGGCCCCCCTGCGGAGCCCTGAGTGCCCACTCACCTCCATACTGTCCCATCTGTGGAGAGGAGAGAGAGATGAAAGAATCCACGTTGTGTTCATCCATCACAGACAGCAGTGCCCGGCACACCAGGCCCCCTGCAGGCAAAACACCACATTGGGCAGGACTTAGGGACAGCCAGGCCAACAGTCCCACCTCAACTCTGCACCCCCACACACACACTATGTACCTCAAGGAAGCTGAGACCCTGAGAAGGCACACGCCCTGTGTCAAAACACCCCACATCAGGTAAGTGACAGAGGCAGAATTCGATTCTGGGTCTTCCGACGAACCCTAGGGTGCTTTTTACTGTCCCCCACCCCCATCCCTTATGTCCAAGAGCCATGGATGACAGGGAAGGAAAGAGGCAACAGTGCAGGGAACGGCCTTCCCACTCAGGACACTCACACAGATAAGACCCAGGTGCTGAGGGAAGTCAGAAAAGGAGGCAATGCGGTTCAAAAAGGAACACTAGGCAGCGTCCCTCAGATAAGGATCAAGCCTCAGAGGGGGCTTAGAGGCGGGGAAGGGGGGAGGGTGCCTACCTTGGGAGTAGCAGATGAGGTGCACCCCTTGAAGAGCCTTTGCCATGATGGGGGCCACAGCCTCTCGGAACCCTTGCACCTGTTCCCACAGGGGTCGCAAACTCTCTCTCCCATCGAAGAGATCGAGCACTGTCACCGCAGTCCCAGGGTGTGTCTGTGGGAAGGGGGTAATGCCGCAGCTGGGATGGACTATAAAGACCCCCCTCCACGCCGCCCCCCCAGCCGGCGCCCACATGCCTATTGTGTCCTCCCAGAACCAGGGATCTCTCGTCCCCCAACTTTCCCCACGCCAGCACCAGCTCTGCGAGAAACTGGGCAGGCCCAGCGTCCAGTTCCCCATTCTCCTTCCCCAGCCTCTGTAGCCGCCACCAACGCCCCACAACCGGGGCGTCCCCGGCCAGACCTCATTGATGTATTCCAGCAGGTGGCGGAAGCTGTACGAACTGTCAAAGAGCCCGTGCACCACGATGACCGGCTTGTAGGCAGCCCGATGGGGCGCGGGGGCGGCGGGCAGCAGCAGCAGCAGCAGCAGGAATGGCAACAGGAGCAGGAACTCCGCCGAAGGGAGCCGCCGCCCCGGGAGCCCCAGCATGCTCCTGCCTGAGAAGGGGACGATGAGGGCCTGTGAGAGAGATGACAACACCCCCTCCCTTCGGAACAGACGCCGGCGATCAAGCCTCCCCCGTCCGTTCCCACACCAGGTCCTTGTCACAAAACATCCTACTTTTACTCCAGTCCTCTCCACAAACACACACCCCCACGACGCTGCAGACGCACTGACGCGCAACCAAGCCCCGCCCCCAACGCAGCGGGGACTCGGTCCCGAGGCCAGGAGCTTCCTAATGGATCAAACCAGCCATGCAAGACTGAAGATTTGCAAGAAGGACCCCAGAGCCGCAGCGCAGGACCCTGGGAGAATGCAAACTCCCACCTGGCCTGGGTCCGCGAGCCCCGCTACGCCTGCTGTTTACTTCTCCCCAGCTTGGAACCCACGTGGGGGAGGGCAAGGGTGTGAGGAGAAAGCGCGCAGGGGAATGACGGACGGGAGAGGGGAGGCTGCTCAGGGTCGCATTTAGCCGTCACGTCCGGGGCTTTCCCTAGCAACCGTGCCAGCGTCCCCCGCAACGCTGGCGGGAGACTGGAGGGGCAGTGGAATAATCCATTGTGGGGGGACGGGGGGGAGGGAATAGGGGGAGTGATCCATTTACATCAGCGGGGAGAGGAAGAAGCCGCAAATGTGTCCTGGGAATTGAGAGAAGGCCTCTTCAGGCCCTGCGGCAGCCGCGACCTAAGGGTCCCATTTCCCGGCCTTGATTTGCCCTACTTCCCAATGCCGGCGTCCGGCTCCGCAACGGAACACGGAGTTCTCTTTCCCCAGGGAGGCGCGCTGGAGGAATAGACCCGGGAAAGGCAGTCCTTGGTATTTTGTCCGCCGACTGAGGGCTGAAGGTAGCCCAGGCGGACCCTGCTCCTAACCCCTTCCCTCCCGCCCGTGCCAGGCCTGAGTCTTACAACTCTTCATCCTGAAGTGCTTGTAGTGCCCTTGTCTCCAGAGACGCGGAGAGTCCTCGAGGCCCCTCGAGGTAAAAGTGCGGCTTGGCCCACTTTCTTCTGCCCTTCTCTAGGACGGAGCCCATCTACGACCCACCCCCCAAGGGGCGGAGAGCCCCTTGGGCAGCGCTGACTCACGCTCCGCCTAGTTTCTGACGAGTCTCAGTACCTGAGCGACCCCACACCCCCGCCCTGAACCTGGAGCTCCTTGTGGGCGGCTCCTTACTCAGACCTTCCCACCGGGGCTGGACTTCTAACTCCAGGCGTCTCCCACCTCTCTCCCTGTGATCCCTACCGGTACCCAGGTGCCCGTGTTAGGGCTTTTACTGAGCATTTAAAGACGTTTGCCTTGATTTAAAAAAATAAAAATAAAAATTTCGCAGCTTATCTGAATTCCTCTATGTTCAGGTCTTTGACAGTCTTAAGTCTCTCCCAATAAAACCAACTTGCGCCCCGAATTGTGTACAGGACGGTGTGGCGGAAGGGGGTTAGGGGCTCACGCGAACACCTCAGAAGCCAGAATGAGAGGTGTGGGGCCGTGATCTAGATCACTGGGGCCTGGGACTGACCCTGACGAGCGCCGCTATTACAGCTCGGTAGTCTCCGCCTGCAGTCGGAAGGAGAAGGATACATCGCCCAGAGAGCGACTGCCTCAAGAAGGGGCTGGGAAGCACTGGTCTAAAGGGGGAGGGTGGTATCTCGGCTCTGCTTTTGCAAATAGCCCAATTCTGGTTAAATCTCGGCTGACTGCTGATTTTCACCGCCCCTCCCCTTGTACAAACTCCCAAGATGCAATAAGCAAAATAAAAAGACTGCAATTACCGCTGGGCCCCCGGGTCGACTCAGGCGATGGCGCTGCGTCTTGGCGGGGGTGGTGGGTGGGTGGGATTTCAGGAATGGATCTGAACACTGCGGGCCCTGGAAACTCTTTAAGAAGCCCAGGAAGCAAAGCGGGGGAAGGGGGGCCAAGCATGTACTGCCAAACTGAGATGCCAGCAATGAGCAGTTGATTCGTTCTCTCCTCCCAACGCGCTACAGCTCCTACATACCGAAGGTAAGAGGTAACTAAGTATCCCCCAAGCTTCCTCTTCGTCCTACCCCAGCCCCCCAACACACCACAAGCCCTACTACCTCCCAACGGCTATAGACTGGGGCCTCTCACTTTACCTCCGGATTCCTCCCAGGCCAGGGCGGCAGGTCGAGATGATAACCCTGGGAACTTTTCCATCGCTGCTCTCAACTGCACACGGTTCTCTCTTTTGTTGTTGTTTTTATGGTTCTCTCTCACACAGGCATCTCTGGCACAGATAGGGAAACTAGAGCCAAGGATTTGGGAGAAGATCCCAAGATCTTACAGAGACTCTGAGGGAGGCTGAGTGTTGGGGGGAGGCCTGACTGGGGTGAAGAAGATCCAAAGGGAACTGGGGTACTGAATCCACTGAGCACCTGCTCGCTTCCTCCCACAGTATAATCACTACAGCCAGTCTTGAAGGGGAAGACTCCAGAGGGTTCTTTCTCCCTCCTTCCTTCCCTTAGTACCACCCGCCTTGCCCGGTCTTGCTTGCCTCCCAGTTTCCATGACAACTCCAAAGGAACCCAAACTGGGGGCTTGAATGCCGGGGTTAGAGGAGGCGAGACATAGTCCAAAAGCGGAGAGAGACCAAGTGGGGGTATCTCTGAAGGGTTCCCCCTCCCTCGCCTCGGTCCCTTTAAGCTCCCCCCTCTCAGCTTTCCCTCCGCCCCCCGCCGCCACAGTCTTCATCTCTCCATCTCTGCGCTGCTGCCGGCTGCGCAATCTGCGCACCCAGACTCCGGTGCTAGCCAGGGACCCCGACTCCGGACTCCGGCTGCACGGATCTTGTCCCAGGGAGAGCGAAGCATGTCGTCCGAAAAGTCAGGTAGAAAACAACAACAAAGCCCCTCACCCTCTCCACTGCCTCCTGACTACCCCCCCCCCTTACCCCTCCCTAGCGGGTGGTTCTGTTTCATTCCCCTTCTATCCAGCTCTCCACATCCCTCCCCCCAAGCCCCTTCCTCTTTCTATATCCTTCCCTTCTCTTCCTTTCCTCTGGCCAGTCTCAGGCTCGGTCCCTTGCCAACAACATGGGTGGGGGGCAGGTTAAGAGGGTGAGGGAAGTACAAGACTGGCTTAGCATCAGCCAGGTACTGCATGGATAGCATCATTGGGAGTGACAGATGGACAGATAACGCTGGCTCGCATGGAAACATCCAGTGGGGAAATATGGAGAGATGATCAAATGGGGATTGCCAGGGGAGTAAAACCCAGAGGACCCTTCTTAATCTGCCCTAAAAGAGGTTCGGAGAGTCCAAGGGAGACTAGGGGACCCCCTCCTTACTGAAGGAATGGCAGAGTGGAACATGTTATCCTACATGTGTTTATACAACTGTTGGACTGAGCACATGTTCACACAAGTGTTGCATGTCTACCCATGTGCATATGCAGGACTAGCTCAGACAGGCAAACCCCAAAGCAGCCATAAGCCAAGAGGGATAGGAGTTTGGGTCTGCAGGTTAAAGCTGTGTGCCCATTGCTGAAGCAGTGAGAGGAGTAGAAGAGAGCCATGACCTCAAAACTAGATTAAAGGAGGGGGGACGGGCTATTGGCCTAGATACCACCCATCTCCTGCCCCAAGAATGAGAGATGGCTTCTCACTCATCTCCTCTCTGTCTCTCCCATTATCTTTCTCCATCCCTGACCCTCTGTGTCTCCCCCTCTCCCTCATCTCATCTGTCTATCTTCTCTCCCCATGCTGGCTCCTCTGCTTACCGCCCCCAGGCCTCCCGGACTCAGTCCCTCACACCTCTCCACCGCCCTACAATGCCCCCCAGCCCCCCGCGGAACCGCCTGCCCCGCCCCCACAGACAGCCCCTTCCTCGCACCATCACCACCACCACCACTACCACCAGTCCGGCACGGCCACCCTCCCGCGCTTAGGGGCAGGGGGCCTGGCTTCTGGGGCCGCCGCTCAGCGCGGTCCCTCGTCCTCCGCCACCTTGCCAAGGCCCCCACATCATGCCCCTCCTGGCCCGGCCGCTGGGGCGCCCCCACCCGGCTGCGCTACCTTGCCCCGCATGCCACCCGACCCTTACCTGCAGGAGACTCGCTTCGAGGGCCCACTGCCCCCACCGCCGCCCGCCGCCGCCGCCCCGCCCCCGCCGGCGCCCTCTCATACTGCCCAGGCCCCGGGCTTTGTGGTGCCCACGCACACGGGAGCTGTAGGCACGCTGCCGCTGGGGGGCTACGTAGCCCCAGGTTACCCTTTACAGCTGCAGCCTTGCACTGCCTACGTGCCGGTCTACCCGGTGGGCACGGTGAGTACAGGGCTGACGGGACTGGAAGGAGGGGGCTGGGGGAAGGATGGAACAGGACATGGAATTGGAGGCCCACTGGGGACTGCTGGGAAAGAGGAACAGAACCAGGGCACCAGGCGGCGATCTGGGGGCAGGGGAGAGGAGAGACTAGAGAAAGATCTGGGAATGGGGTGGGTGGTCTGTTGGAGTCAAAGATCAAGATCTGGCAGGGGAAACAGCCTTGAAGTCCAGAGGAGGTTTAAAAGAGGGAAACAACCTTCTTTCTCTGCCAGAGGTGGAAAGCTGGTGGGCTCAGAGAGGGTAAGAGTGATAGACATCCCCTCCCCACAACCTTCTTTCCTTCCACAGCCCTATGCAGGCGCGACCCCGGGGGGAACAGGAGTAACCTCCACGCTCCCCCCGCCACCCCAGGGCCCAGGGCTGGCCCTGCTGGAGCCAAGGCGCCCGCCCCACGACTACATGCCCATCGCGGTGCTGACCACCATCTGCTGCTTCTGGCCTACAGGCATCATTGCCATCTTCAAGGCAGTGCAGGTGTGTGGGGGGTGAGGGTGGGGGAGGGGACGGAGGCGGAGGATGGAGAGGAGGACTCAAGAGGTTCTTCTTATTCCTAGGGAGTGCTGGACGTTTGCGGAATCATCTTAGATGGAGGCTGAGGCGTGCGGCCGAGGTATCGGCTCTCTGATCTTCTCTCCCTCCCCCTCCGCAGGTGCGCACGGCCTTGGCCCGCGGAGACATGGTGTCAGCTGAGATCGCTTCACGCGAGGCCCGGAACTTCTCCTTTATCTCCCTGGCGGTGGGCATTGCAGCCATGGTGCTCTGTACCATCCTAACCGTAGTCATCATCATTGCAGCGCAGCACCACGAGAACTACTGGGATCCGTAAGGACGTCCACGGCCCGGCCCCCACCCTATGCCCCTCGACGTCCCAAGCACGTTTTGCCGTCAAGCCGGGGATCCACAGTGGGCGCCCCGCACACCCGCTTCTGGGGCTACTGGACTTGGTTACATCCTAAACTAGGCCTCCACGGAAACTCTCGCCTTGCGAGCACGCTCGGAATCCAGTTCCTCAGGAACCTCGCCAAAACCCACACTAATAGGGACGCCACTTCCCGGCCAGGCCCTCAGTCGCTCCAGGCCCCCACCTCCTCTAAATACAGCACCCCTAGCCGAAGTCCCTTGGTCACGCCTCCCCAGCCTGAAAACTGGTCCCTAAAGCCCCGCCTCCTCTATAGGTTCCGCCCCGGCTCTGATAAAACCCCGCCTCCAGGTCGGCAGGCTCCGCCTTCTTTTCTTCCCTGCGGGGTGATTCAGTCCGGTGATTGGTTTGTGGCGCCAGGCCTCGCCCCGATAGTTGTCAATATACTTGTCACTCCACACCTTCTCCCTGCGTGAGAGCCGAGCCCCAGGTTAGCCATAACCCCCACCCTCACTTCCAGTTCTGTCTCTCCTCCACTCCATCCCCGTCTATTTTCATGCTAATCCCAGGACCTCTATAACTTTTGGGGTTCTTTCTTTATTTATTTTTTTGAAATGAGGTTTAGGAGGTTACCGGTTTCGGAACCTTCGGAACCTGGGATGAAGATTACGTCCCCGTTCTCTGTAAATACTCCCTTCCTCCTATCCCAACTGGGCAAGCGGGCAGAAAGAACCGAGGGTATAAACCTTCCAATATCTGGAGGGAGCCAGCCCAATCCCCGTTCCTCAGTAGTCCTCACCTTGTTCTGATCTGTGTGTGAGTGTGTGTGTGAATTTCTGAAAGACAAAATTAAATAGATTAAGTGGATTTATCACCCTCAATCCCGAAGACTAGCAAAGACCCGGCTCCTTTGGTTTCGCCTTTCACTTCTTATCTCCCCTTCTGGGGACGTGGGGGAGGGGAGGACAAAAACTGACAGAGACAATAGTGAGTGGAGACAGATTCCGGCACACCACAAAGATGGGAAAGGAAGGCCCCCCTGGGAATCCTATTGGCGAAGACCTGAGGATCCATTCTTAGTGGACGTTTCTTTACCCAGCACACCTTTTCCGTTCCCTACCAGACTGGACCTAAGACTTTGGAGAAGGAGGATTTACGAGCAGATCCAGGGATCTATCCCCAGAATTCCAGGAAGGCAGGAAGAAAGTAGGCAGAGTATTCTGAAAAAGTTGGCTAAGGATAGGATGGCCTGGGGTAGGGAAACATGCCCAGCTGCCCACAGCTGTTCCTGCTCACAAGCTGGAGGGTGGCAGGCAACTCCGGTTAGAGCCCTACTTGGTGTGTTGTACCAGTGTAGGCAAGGCAAAGGGAGCGCAGAGCTGCTGTGACAAAAATACCATCACTGGGTGGCTTATAAAGAACAGAACTTTCCTGGAAGTCTGAGATCAGGTGCCAGGACGGTCAGGTATAGGCCCTCTTCTGAGTTGTAGATCTCTAAATGTACACCGATCCCTGTCTCCTCACTGTATCCTCACTTGGCAGAAAGGGCTAGGGAGCTCTGTGGGATTTCTTTATTGCCTTATTTATTTGGCCAAGGGACTTGTGGGATCCTATTTCACCCCTGTTCAGCAATTGACCCACACCCCTTGCTTTGGAAGCATGGAGCCTTAACCACTGGATCACCAGGGAAGTCCTTGTAGGGTCCCTTTTACAAGGGTACTAATCCCATTCATGAGGGTGCTACTCTCAGGACCTAAGTGCGTCCCAAAGGCCTCACCTCCCAATACCATTGTATTGCACATTAGAATTTCAACATATGTTTTGGGGCAGGGAACACAAATATTCTGACTAAAGCAGAGTGCCAGGGAGAAAGTCAACAGCCTCACACATCCACCTGGGCTAGTTGCCCTCAACCAGGAGACCTCTTGGGGAGGGGGAGGTGCCACAAACAGTGGACTTGGTATCTTCAGCTGTGCGCCTGCAGGACAGGGTCCTATCCTGAATTCCATGCCGGTGGGATGCTGGTGAGACATCCCAGATGGTGAGATGCTGGTTTAGACATCATCTCCGACAGCCCGTGTAAACCCTGAAACTCACAAAGTTTATAATCTAAAAGGGAAGCCATGCACTGTGATAGGAGACATGAGAGGAGGATTGGGATCGTGGGTTCTCCTTTGGACGGTTCAGGTTTACTGTGCCCTCCTTACCCGACTTCATGAAAAAAGAACTTGCATTTGCAGTTCGCACTTCCTCACTACCTACTCACCACCTCCAACCCCACCCTCTCCTCTCTCACCTCCGTTCAATAGGGTGCATTGTTGTCAGAAATGTCTAACCTTCATATCCACTGCTTCTTAACCCTTTGGAATATGCTTCCAATCCAAACTTTACTGAAATGTTTTTTTCAAATAGTATTCAATGACTCGAAGTTACCAGGAGCCAAAACCCATGGTATTTTCACAGTACACTGCCTCTCTGAACTCTTCCATGTTTGTCCCTTCACCCTGGATTCCCCACTTTCCCAGGTTCAGGGATATATTACCTCCTCCCCCTCTACCTACACACAAACATCACTTCATCCTTCCTCCTCTCTCCCCGCCTTTTTTTTTTTTCTCCTGTGCTTTAAGCATCTATATATGGACTTTTTTTCCCCTTCTCTGAGAATTTCCCTTGAAAAATCTCATCCACTCCACACTCAGACCTCATTTGTAACCAAATGCTTCTTTGCTACAGACAAATTTGTTTCCTCAAAATTTATCTATTGAACCCTAGTCCTCAGTGTGATAGCGTGGCATTTGGGAGATGATTAGGTTTTGAGGGTAGACCCTCATGGATGGGATTAGTGCTCTTATAAAAGAGACCCCAGAGGGACTTCCCTGGTGGTCCAGTGGTTAAGTTACCACACTTCCAAGGCAGGGGATATGGGTTTGATCCCTGGCCTGGGAACTAAGATCCCACATGTCCCATGGCATGGTCAAAAGATTTAAAAAAAATTTTTTTTTTAGTTAATAAAAGATCCCCAGAGAGTTCCCTTACCATTCCACCATGTGAGGACATAGCTAGAAGGTACTCTGTGAACCAAAAGAAGCTCTCACTAGACACTAAATCTGCCAGCACCTTGCTCTTGGAATTTCCAGCCTCCAGGACTCGAGAAATTGACTTCTGCTGTTTATAAGATAGCCAGTTTATGGTATTCTGTTAACAGTCCATGTTGAGTAGAACACTCTCCAAACTCTGTACGTATAAGCATTCCTCTGGTGTCTGTGGAACATGTGGACTATGTCTGAAAGTCGCTCAGTCCCACTCTTTGGGACCTGGAATTCTCCAGGCAACAATGCTAGAGTGGGTTGCCATTTCCTTCTCCAGGGGAGCTTCCCAACCCAGGGGTCGAACCTAGGTCTCCTGCATGACAGGTGGATTCTTTAGAGTCTGAGTTACCAGGGAAGCAATGCAGCCATCCTCTAAACTCAGCTGGTTCCAAACCAAACAGATAAAATGCCACTGAAAACCAGCTGTCTCCCTCTGTAGACAGCACCAATTCCCCAGTGCCCTTCCTTATTTGAAAACTTGATGCCTCTTCCACCTCCTTCCTGCCTTTACTTGTGGTGAGCTGTTAAGCCCAGTCAGTTCTGCCATCATGATGTCTTTTGAATCTGTAATTTTCCCCACTTCTTGCTGGAAAAATGACCTCATCTAGGATCATTACGACAGTTCCCCTAATAGGTCTCCCTCTTGGCTACCTCTTCCTACTCCAGGTCTCCCTTGACACTGTTGTCGGGTTATCCTCCCTAAACACGCTTTTTACAAACTCTTAACATGCTCCTCAAAAGCCCTTCAAGATTCCCTCTTGCTTACTCAACTGTTCACAAAATTTTAATCTGGCCTTTGACCTCTCCCATAATTTGAAATCATCCAGCTTTCTGTGGAACCAAACTGTATTTTTCATCATGCCCACCTCCAGATCTTTATTTACCCAGCTGTCCTCAAATCTAGGAGATCTTTCTCTAATATTTGCCTGTTACAAACCAAATTGTTTGCTGCTTGCCATGTGTTTCAGACCACATCTAAGCTTAAGCTCATGATATTTTCCCTCTTTTCACATCTGCTTCTCCACTTGGCCAAAATGTACCAATCCTTCAAAGCTCAGATCAATTCACTCCTTCACTGCAGCAAGAAGGAATCTCTCGGGACTTCCCTGATGGTCCCGTGGTTAAGAATCCACTTGCCAATGCAGGGGATACAGGTTCAACCCCAGGTCTGGGAAGATTCCATATGCCACAGAGCATGCCCCGTGACTACTGAACCTGCATGCTACAACTACTGCAGCCGGTGTGCTGAGAGCCTGTGCTCAGCGACAAGAGAAGCCACCTCAATGAGAAGCCTGTGCACTGCAGTGAAGGGTAGCCCTGCTCACTGCAACTAGAGAAATCCCTCAAGCAGCAACAAGGATCCAGCCCAACCAAAAATAAATAATTTTTTAAAAACTGAGTATAAGTTGCCTTAAAAAAAATAATAAAGCAGTGGGTTTCTAAACACAGCTCCAGGCATTCCTTGAAGTCATGATTCTTGCCTCTGGCAATACATTATAGTCATCTGGGGAGCATTTAAAAAGCCCAAAGCCCAGGTAACATTCTAAACCAATTAAATCACCATCTCTTGGGTCTCAGGCATCAATATTTTTAAAGACATCCCCAGGTGATTCCAAATCTAACTCTGTCTGCACCATATCTGCACCTAAGTGCTGAATATGTCTGGGGAAAAATGCACAGTCATACCAGCTAGTCTCACTTCCTTTGAGTCTTCAGGGTGGCCTGCAAGCCTGCATTTTCCCACATTTCCCGAATCTGAGATCACAGTTTCACAAAATGAAGACCTTCTTTCCTATCTCAGTGAGAAAATAGAAACTCTCAGAAGAGAACCCCCTCTGGTCCCTGCTCCAAATCTACCAGGCCACATGCATCTCTGTTGAATTCAGTGACTTCCCCTCGTTACTGCAGAGAAGCTGACCTGTTCCCCAGTCCCCACCCTATGTGGGCACTAAGATCCCAGCCTTCTCACCTACACAGAAATGGAACTCTTGAAATGATCCCCTATCTCTCTCACATAATCAGTTTTCCCCTCATTACTGAAACATTCCATCACCATACAAACATGATATAATTATATAGCTCATCTTTGAGAAGAAGGGAAAAATAAATTCTTTTGCTACTAACCTATGTAGTAAAAGCACAAAATTCAGAATAGTGGTTAGCCCATGACAAGAGGAGAATTCTTTTTTTTTTTAATTGAAATGTAGTTGATTTACAATGTTGTGTTAATTTCTGCTGTGCGGCAAAGTGATTCAGTTACACATATATGTGTGCTTAGTTGCTCAGTCATGTCTGACTCTTTGCAACCCCACGGACTGGGACCTGCCAGGCTCCTCTGTCCATGGGGATTCTCCAGGCAAGAATGCTGGAGTGGGTTGCCATGCCCTCCTCCCAACCCAGGGATCAAACTCAGGTCTCTCACATTGCAGGAGGATTCTTTACCATCTGAGCTACCAGGGAATCCCTACACACACACACAGACACACACATATTATTCTTAATATTCTTTTCCATTATGGTTTGTCATAAAATACTGAATACAGTTCCCTATGCTATACAGTAGGACCTTGTTTATCTATTCTATATATAATAGTTTGCAGCTGCTAATCCCAAATTCCCACTCCATCCCTCTCCCACCCACCCATCCCAGCCAGGAGAATTCTGATTGGAGAGAGATACATAGGGAGCTTCAACAATAGCCAGAAGATTTTAGTCCTTAAGCTGGAATTTAATTACTTTAGAATATGTATGTGCCATGGTTGAGGAAGTCTGGTCTAGAACCATTAGCAACATTTGACA